ACTAGAAAAATGCTTGTTTTTTGCCCCTTTTTTGGCCCCTAATTCCTAAAATTTTTAGACAATTACCCCCAAAATCAATCCCAGCATTCCCTTTGTAATATGGAACCTTGTGGTACAATGTCAGAGAGATCCATACACTAACACACAAGTTATGTCTGGAAGTTACAAAAATGCTTATTTTTGGCCCCTAATTCCTTAACTGTTGGTACCATAACCCCCAAAATAATCCCAACCTTCCTTTTGTGGTATTGAACCTTATGGTAAAATTTCATAGAGATCCATTCACTTAAACTAAAGTTAGAGTGCGAAGACCAATGTGTCTTCGGACGACAACGTCTGACCAATATACGACCGCAAAATTTTTTTGCGGTCGTATAAAAACTGCACAGTATTGAAGACCATACAGTGACCTCAAAAGGTTCAAACTTTTGAAACAGTTTATTTTGAATGTAGTATACTTGCTCATGTTAAAAGGACATAATTCTAAAAAAAAAATATATATTGTTTCCCTGTCAACATGTCTGTTGCCATTAAGAAATAAATGGTTCTTTTTAAAAAAAATTTGGGTGTAAAAGCTTTTACCAAAGAAGCGTGGAAGCGCTTCATAGAAACATCCTAACTAGAGGCTCTAAAGAGCCGGTGTCGCTCACCTTGGTCTATGTGCATATTCAACAAAGGACACTCTCCAACATTGTAGATGAGAATAGAATTCATGACAAAATCTCTTTTTTGTTGATCATTTATTCTGTTTAGTTTCTCTCTATCTTCGTTAGTTTTTGCTCAAAACACCTAAGAGGGTGAGTCTACCAACTATATTGGCAAAATTTGACTTGTTAGTAGATCTTGCCTTGCTGACCATTTTTGTTATTTAAAGTGTCTATTTATCTGTTATAACTTTCATCATACAAAAAATGGTAAAAATTGTCATTAAAGGGCAATAACCCCAATAAGGAGTCGTCAGATGATTTTCTCCATATTGTATTAGTTGTAGATCTTGTCTTGCTGATCATTTTTGCTTATTTAAGTTTCTACCTATCTATTATAATTTTTAAGATTTACAGCAACTAGAGGCTTTAAAGATCCTGTGACGCTCACCTTGGTCTATGTGCATATTCAACAAAGGGCACTCTCCAACATTGTAGACGAGAATAGAATTAATGACAAAAATCTGTTTTATTGATCTTGGATTGCTGATCATTTAGTCTGTTTAGTTTCTCTCTCTATCTTCTGTAGTTTTGATCAAAACACAAAAGAGGGTAAACAAATCCTCATTTAAGGGCAATCACTCCTATAAAGAGTGACAATCTAATAACTATATAGGCAAAATTTGATTAGTTAGTAGATCTTACCTTGCAGATCATTTTTGTGATTTAAAGTGTCTATTTATCTATAATAATTTTTATCATATAAGGCAAAACGCAAAAAAGTGGTAACAATCGTCATTAAAGGGCAATAACTCCAATAAGGAGTCGTCGTTCAATTTCCTACATGTTCTCTAAATTGTAAATCTTGTCTTGCTGATCATTTTTGCTTATTATTTCATTTTCTATCCTATCTATTATAAATTTTTCAGATATAAGGCAAAAACGCAAAAAATTGGTAAAAATCGTCATCAAAGGGCAATAACTCTAATAAGGAGTCGACTGTAGAACTTGTTTTGCTGATCATTATGGTAATCTAAAGTTTCTCTTTTTCTATTATAGTTTCAAGATAATCGGCAAAAATGAAAAAAAAAAAGGTAAAATTTGTCATTTAAGGGCAATAACTCCTATAAGAAGTTGTCTGACAGTTTTGCTGTGAGTAGAGCTCAACATTCTGAACATTTTTGTCTCTGTCAGATTTTCTCTATTTATAATGGTTTTCAAAGTAATGGACAAAACTTGCATTTTACCCCTATGTTCTATTTTTAGCCTCGTCAGCCATTTTGGTTGGCAGGCAGGGTCATTGGACACATTTATTAAACTAGATACCCCAATGATGATTGTGACCAAGTTTGGATAAATTTGGCCCACTAGTTTCCGAGGAGAAGATTTTTGTAAAAGTTGCGGACGATATTGGAATGCTTTTAGCCAATCAAAAGTATGGATTCTTATGAAACATATATGTAATGTAATTATTGGTAGTTAAATTCCTAATACACCAAAAGGATCATACTACTTATATATGACTTGCCAGAAGATGCAAGTTTCACAATTTACAGCTTTGCCTTATGTGCATGAAACCCTTTTACCCAATACTTTGACCATTTAGTCCTGATAGCTCATAAAAACAAATATCACAAAGTTGAAAGGAAGGTAATTTTTGGTTGATTTTTAAAGATTACATACACCAATCCTGAACTTCAGAAGTATCACGACACATGCTGTGAAATTTCTTTAAATCTTATAATCTAGAACAAAAAATCTGCAAACTGTAATAATTAAAAGGACATTAAATGAACTTTGTCTAAAAGAAAAAACACTTTGAAAAGATATTGTAAAAACTTTGATGCAGATTAAAGTAAAATGACTTGAATGAAAATTTAAATAAAATGCTCCGCAGGGCGCAGCTTGATACGACCGCAGAGGTCGAACCCTGAACAGTTGGGGCAAGTATGGACACAACATTCAAACTTGATACAGCTCTGAATTTGGATTGTGATTAAATATTTGACACAGCATAGGTTTCTGACACAGAATGAATGTGGTCTAAGAACTTAAAAATTTTAAATTGGACATTCACCTATTATGGTCCAATATCCAAAATCTAAATACATGGTTAGATTCAGCATATCAAAGAACCCCAAGAATTCAATTTTTTGATGAAATCAAACAAAGTTTAATTTTGGACCCTTTTACCTCAATGTGGACAAAGTTGATAACGGGGCCCAAAAATCAAAAATCTAAATACATGGTTAGATTCAGCATATCAAAGAACCCCATATATTCAATTTTTGTTGAAATCAAACAAAGTTTAATTTTGGACCCCGATTTGGACCAACTTGAAAACTAGGCCCATAATCAAAAATCTAAATACATGTTTAGATTCAGCATATCAAAGAACCCTAAAAATTCAATTTTTGTTAAAATCAAACTAACTTTAATTTTGGACCCTTTGGACCTTAATGTAGACCAATTTGAAAACGGAACCAAAAATTAAGAATCTAAATACACGGTTAGATTCGGCATATCAAAGAACCCCAATAATTCAATTTTTGATGAAATCAAATAAGTTAAATTTTGGACCCTTTGGACCTCAATGTGGACCAATTTAAAAACGGGGCCCAAAATCCAAAAACTTAATACATGGTTAGATTCAGCAGATTAAAGAACCCCAAGAATTCAAGAATAAAACCCCATTGAAATTGATCAAGAAATAAGCAATTTATATGAAGTATCTTCTTTTGCACAATACTGTGCAATTGAATATTTCTTGCTATTGCGCAATACTGTACAATTGACAATTTCTTGCTATTGCGCAATATTGTGCTATTGGATATTTCTTGCTATTGCGCAATACTGTGCAATTGAAGATTTCTTGCTATTGCGCAATACTGTGCAATTGAAGATTTCTTGCTATTGTGCAATACTGTGCAATTGAAAATTTCTTGCTATTGCACAATACTTATTATATAATAATTTACACATCCTGTTTGGTGTGTATCTCCTACCATATTATTATTATTTGCTTTTAAATATAAATCAGAAATAACCAACTTAAAATGAAAAATTTTAAAAGAAAAAAAAAAAGAAAAAAAGAAAAAAAAAGAAAAAAAAAAAATCCCCCCCCCCAAATTTTTTGAACCCCCTTATGATTCATCACCCCCAAACTCAATCCCAGCCTTCCCTTTGTAGTATGGTACCTTGCAGTACAATTTCAGAGAGATCCATACACTTGAACACAAGTTATTGCCTGGAAACTAGAAAAATGCTTATTTTTGGCCCCCAATTCCTAAACGTTTCGGGTAATTACCCCCAAACTCAATTCCAGCTTTCCCTTTGTGATATGGAACCTTGTAGTACAATTTCAGAAATATCCAAACACTTACACACAAGTAATTGTCATGAAACTAGAAAAATGCTTGTTTTTTGCCCCTTTTTTGGCCCCTAATTCCTAAAATTTTGAGGCAATTACCCCCAAAATCAATTACAGCCTTCCCTTTGTGATATGGAACCTTGTGGTACAATGTCAGAGAGATTCATACACTTACACACAAGTAATTGTCTGGAAGTTACAAAAATGCTTATTTTTGGCCCCTTTTTGGCCCCTAATTCCTTAACTGTTGGTACCATAACCCCCAAAATCAATCCCAACCTTCCATTCGTGGTATTGAACCTTATGGTAAAATTTCAAGGAGATCCATTTACTTAAACTAAAGTTAGAGTGCGAAAACCAATGTGTCTTCGGACGACGACGACGCCAACGTCATACCAATATACGACCAAAAAAATTTTAATTTTTGCGGTCGTATAAAAATCATAAACAAGAATGGGTCCATAGTACAAGGATAGGTGGGGCATAAATACAATAAGAAATTATTTGTTATAGAAAAGAGTGAATTTCTTAAAGATCTAAATAGCTAATTTGATATAGGTGAGACATGTATGGAATGATGAACACAAATTAGGGCTATTCCATTAAAATGTATGTGGGAGGGTAGGAAGGGAAGTTAAATTATTGAATGTGGGTCATGGGTCTTTTTTCAGTATGTGTCTATCACCATTATGCAAAATTATCTAAAAAATGGTTCTTGGTTGTAGGGATATTTTGAAAGTCCCTTCCTACCCTCCCACATACATTTTAATGGAATAGCCCTTAAAGGCAACTGTATACTAAACTATTTCCAATATTGAAAGATGAATACTAAAAATATAGATTTTGCCTTACTGTACAGACGCTTATATATTGCTGAAAACTATATATCGATCTCTAAATGTCTTCTGTTATGTTGTTCAGTTGATGTCTCATTGACATATAACCCTTTTCTCCTTTAATTCACAACCAACAAATTTAAACACATATTTGTACTGTTTTTAGAAAATAAGTTTATTTTTATCAAATGCTCTCTGTACATATCAAAACACATTATCACAACTGTAATATTATCATGTATATAACCAATAAATATCACACCAAATGCAGAACAATACTTTTTTACCATTGCTAAGTAAAAATTTTCTAAGCTTATGAGCTTTCATAAAATCTTTTTCAAGGACAAAATTTGGACTCCACCAAAATTTTCAAACGATATAGCTTTCAGTATCATTAATGTACTATTCTATTGATAAATATACATATTATTTACTTGATTGGAATTTATATCATTTAACTGCTTAAGTAGAATTTAAGTAAGGGCTCCATAGAGTCTGTATTGCTTCCCTGGAACTTTTCCATAAAACTGATACAATGATACAGTGCATTAAGAATTTTTGTCTAGAACATAAACTCATGCAGTCCAAAATATCGTCTTGTTATTTTTTTTGGGCCAGATAAAGGTTTTGTCTAACCATTATTATTTTTCAAGAAAAAAGGCAAAAAATTAAAAATGTGTGAACACTGTGATTTAGGAATGAGGAAGAATTTTTGCTGTTAACAATTTTGCTTCATCTCCTAATAGTTTACATCTAAAACACAAAACTGTGTTAACCTCTTTATCTAAGGGTGATTAGCCTTAAAATGAGTCAACTATGGAATTTAACCATGTTGACTTTATTTGTAGATCTTGTTTTGCTGGTAATTTTTATTGTTTACAATTTCTTTTTGACAGCATTAGATTTGACAAAGTTGAAAAAAATGATTAAAATCTTTATTGAAGGGCAATAACTTCTATATTAAACTAAAGGAGACAACTGACAATTTTTGCCTTGTTGACCTATTTTCAGTTGGTCATTTTTGCCATTTAAAGTTTCTCTCCGTCTATTATAATTTTCCAGATTAAAGCCAAAAATGCAGAAAATGGGTCAAATTTGAAATCGAAAGGCAATAACTCCTATATATTATCAACTTAATTACAGCCATGTTGAGGTTACAGTAGATTTTTCTTGGTGAACAATTTTAATAGCTATAAAGATAACCCTTTATCTATTAGTCTTCAAGATTTTACACAAAAATGGAAAAAATTGTAAAATACATCATTTAAAGACAAGAAGTCAACCGCCCAATTCTGCCATGTTGACTTATTTGAACATCTATTTTACTAATTTTTGCAATTCAAATTTTCTATCAAAAGAAAAATTGTCATTTAAGGGCAGTAACTCACGATGGGAGTTGTCTTACATTTTTGGTCAGATTTTTATCTATAGTTTTCAAGATACCAGCGGTAAATGATTATTTGCATTATACCTGTATGTTTAAAATTTAGAAATGATGGCTATGTTGGATGGATTGTGGGTTCAGCAGACACAATTTTTAAAACAAGACACAATGGACGATTGTGCAAAGTTTGGTTGCCATTGGCCTACTAATTTCAGAGAACAGTTTTGTAAAACATAACAGACGACAGATGTTAAGTGTGTGCAATAACTCATACTAGCCCGTTGAGCCGGGTCAGCTAATATATAATGACTACATATTTTAACATCAAATTTTCAAATGTATCTTTTCAACTAAATGCATCAGCCATCAACATGTGTCAATCAAATATTCAGTTATACTTTTAACACTTATTCATTAATATAATCACTAGATTTTAAAGACAATATTACGTTGTTCTTTCTTTAAGTAACATGTTTTACATCTATCTGACTTTTGAATAAAGCTCCTTGTACAATCTCTTGTTGTATAAGTATTTGTTTGTTTAATCACATATCCTGTTTACAGAATGACAAGTTAGCGTGGATGAGACAATCTCTCAATGAAAACATGTTCTGCACATTCTATTCTTTCTTCAAAGTATCACCATCTGTGTTTGGTAGTCAATAGATAGATCCTATCCACAATCTGCTGCCAAATAACATTAAAACTTCCTTTTGTCTTGAACAGTCCTATCCACAATCTGTTGGCCAATAGCTTTAAAAGTTACTGTTATCTTGACCAATTAGAAGGGACTTGTTAGGATGACCTTGACATCTCGTGACCTTGAAAGTCTTTGATAGCTAAGTCTGATCACTCTCTTAATCCTCTCAAATGTGTGTTCATCATAACAACTTCTGGCAGTATTAGTGAGATCAAAAGGTTCTAAAAATATAAACATATATAATTTGTCAAGTCAAGAAAAGCACAGAACTATAAATTCAAATTGTGTCCCTTTCTAATATAAGATCCATAACAGGTAAACAAATGCTTATCAAAGATCTATAATGCTAAAATGTCACTTGTTTTTAATGGGAGTGAATGACCATGCCTTACTTGCACATAGGTACAAAACCATATTTCATTATAAATCGAAAGTTGTGTGGAAACATGTGGATCAGGATCTGCTTACCCTTTGGTTTTTGTTGGGGTTTGTGTTGCTCAGTCTTTAGTTTTCTATGTTGTGTTTTGTACTGTTGTTCCGTCTTTGGTCATTTTTTGCCATGGCATTGTTAGTTTGTCATTGACTCATGAGTTTCAACATCCCATTGGTATCTTCTCTCTCTCCCTAAGGATACTAACGGGTATCCAATGCATTCAAACATGCCCTCACCTTCAGTATTTGGAAACTTTTATTGGTATTATCTTGTCTGATCTATGGCCATATATTTCTGCATCCTTACCTACTACATTTAGAAATTTTCATTATTTTTTGTCATCCATCTGGCCATGGCCATGTATTTCTGCATCCTTACCTTCTATATTTAGGCACTTCCATTGGTTTTTATCGTTTGTCTGGCCTATGGCCATGTATTTCTGCATTCTTGTTCCTGTTCTCACGCTCATCAATTGAGTATCAAAACTGAAACAGATATGGATAGGTTCACAAATAAGGTACATATTGCCTTTAATGGACAATTCTGAACTTTCTAGACTAAATTTGCTGGTGGACTTAAGAGTCCCAAGGGGGTATCAGACAATTAGAAGTTATTGGTTCCAGAGTGGCGATAATATATACAAATTGAATCATGATAGACTGTCATTTAATACATTTTTTTATTTGAAATAATATAAGGTTGCAACTGCTTTAAGCATAGTTTTGGCTTTTCTTTTCACGCATTTGCTTTAGGAACTTTTACTTCTCAACATTCTAAAACAAGAAAAGCATTTTGAACGGATGAAGTCGACATGTTTCACTCTGAATGTTAAGAAATTGTGATAACAATGATTAATATAGAGATAATGAGATGTGGTATGATTGCCAAAGAGATAACTATCCACCAAAGCAAATCCCATACCATATAGTAAGCTATCAAAGGCCCTGGCATGACAAATGTAAAAAATAAATGTGGAACGTGTCCATGGGACACAGATGATGCCCCCGCTTGCATGTCATATTAAGATATAAAGGGACATAACTGAAGAACGGTAAAAGTGAAGCTACCCAAACTTGTACTTGATCTGAGTTTTGTGGTAATACGCATTGTGTATAAGTTTCATAACATTTGGTTGAAGCAAACTAAAGTTAGAGAACAAAAACGAAAAATTCAGCAATTTTTATGTTTATAAAGAGGCATAACTTAAGAACGGTAAAAGTGACACCAACCAATTTCACACTTATCTGTATTAAGTGGTAATAAGCATTGTGTAAAAGTTTCATAACAATTAGTTGAGGCAAACTTAAGTTTAGAGAAAGGAAATGAAAAATTCAGAAATTTTTATGTTTATAAAGGGGTAAAAGTGACGGTAAAAGTGACGCCAACAAATTTCGTACTTGATCTGTATAATGTGGTAATAAGCATTGTGTATAAGTTTCATAACATTTGGTTGAGGCAAACCAAAGTTAGAGAACGGAAACAAAAAATTCAGCAATTTTTATGTTTATAAAGGGGCATAACTCAAGAACGGTTAAAGTGACGCCACCCAATTTCAAACTTGATCTGTATTATGTGGTAATAAGCATTGTGTATAAGTTTCATAACATTTGGTTGAGGCAAACTAAAGTTAGAGAATGGAAACCAACATTGGGACGTACTGATGTATGGACAGACGTATGTACGTACGTACAGACGGACAAGGGTAAAACTTAATGCCATCTCCGCTATGATGGGGGCATAAAAAAAGGAAATAAAATGCTTCGCTGGGGCGCAGCTTGATACGACCGCAGAGGTCGAACCCTGAACAGTTGGGGCAAGTATGGACACAACATTCAAGCTTGATACAGCTCTGAATTTGGATTGTTATTAAATATTTGACACAGCATAGGTTTCTGACACAGAAAGAATGTGGTCTAAGAACTTGAATTTTTTTAATTTACCTATTATGGTCCAATGTCCAAAATCAAAATACATGGTTAGATTCAGCATATCAAAGAACCCCATATATTCAATTTTTGTTAAAATCAAACAAAGTTTAATTTTGGACCCCAACTTGGACAAACTTGAAAACTGGGCCAATAATCAAAAATCTAAACACATGTTTAGATTCAGCATATCAAAGAACCCCAAGAATTCAATTTTTGCTAAAATCAAACTAAGTTTAATTTTGGACCCTTTGGACCTTAATGTAGACCAATTTAAAAAACGGGACTTAAAATTAAAAATCTAAATACACGGTTAGATTTGGAATATCAAAAAACCCCAATAATTCAATTTTTGATGAAATCAAACAAAGTTTAATTTTGGACCCTTTTGACCTCAATATGAACCAATTTGATAGCGGGGCCTACAAATAAAAAATCTAAATACATGGTTAGATTCAGCATATCAAAGAACCTCATATATTCAATTTTTGTTGAAATCAAACAAAGTTTAATTTTGGACCCCAATTTGGACCAACTTGAAAACTGGGCCCATAATCAAAAATCTAAATACATGTTAAGATTCAGCATATATAAGAACCCCATACATTCAATTTTTGTTGAAATCAAACAAAGTTTAAATACTGGACCCTATCTTGGACCAACTTGAAAACTGGGCCCATAATCAAAAATCTAAAGACATGTTTAGATTCAGCAAATCAAAGAACCCCAAGAATTCAATTTTTGTTAAAATCAAACTAAGTTTAATTTTGGACCCTTTGGACCTCAATGTAGACCAATTTAAAAAACAGGACCCAAAATTAAAAACCTAAATACACGGTTAGATTTGGAATATCAAAGAACCCCAATAATTCAATTTTAGATGAAATCAAACAAAGTTTAATTTTGGACCCTTTTGACCTCAATATGAACCAATTAGATAACGGGGTCCACAAATAAAAAATCTAAATACATGGTTAGATTCAGCATATCAAAGAACCCCATATATTCAATTTTTGTTGAAATCAAACAAAGTTTAATTTTGGACCCCAATTTGGACCAACTTGAAAACTGGGCCAAAAATCAAAAATCTAAATACATGTTTAGATTCAGCATATCAAAGAACCTCATATATTCAATTTTTGCTAAAATCAAACAAAGTTTAATTTTGGACCCTTTGGACATTAATGTAGACCAATTTGAAAACTGGACCCAAAATTAAAAATCTAAATACACTGTTAGATTCGGCATAACAAATAAATAAATGTGATCAAAGATTTTACAAATCTAATGCGCCATACTGTGCAATTAAAGATTACTTCTTGAAATTTTTCAATATTTGAAATTTGAAAAAAAAATAATATTTGAAGAATAATTCTTTTTAATTTCTGAAATCTGAAATGAGAAAGAATTGGCCCCCCACAATTTCTTTTTATCCCCCCCCCTTTTTCCCCCAAAAAAATTTTTTCCCTCAAGATATGGTCATAATCTCAATTCAAATTTCCAATGGAGTTGGCAACCATAATTACCCATTTAAATTTACCATAGTGCTAACTTAATCTATTTTATAATAGAATTAATAAAAATATAGTGTCAAATCTTTCATATGGATTTTTTTGTAAAAAAAAAAGATGAAAACATTTGCAGATATTTTTACTGGTCTTCCTTTATAAATATGCATTTCTTTAAACATAATTTAAAAGCAGTGTAAGGGAAGTAACCAAAACGTTGTATTTGGATTACCTCCCTTACACTGTTTTAGATTATCTTTATTGTTTATTAACCATTACTTTATACATAATTTAAAAGCAGTGTAAGGGAGATAATTTCAATGATGTATTTGATTTATCTCCCTTACACTGCTTTAAATTATGTTTTGTACTAAAGTATTTGTCCATTAACCAGGACAACCTTGTTTTTCCCCCTTTTTTGCCCCTAATTCCTAAACGGTTTGAGCCATAACCCCCCAAAGCAAATCCTAACCATCCCTTTGTGGTATGGAAACTTGTAGTATAATTTCAGAGAGATCCATACACCGTTCCAGTTATTGTTTGGAAACTAGAAAATGCTCATTTTTGGCCCATTTTTGGCCCCTAATTCCTTAACTGTTGGTACCATAACCCCCAAAATCAATCCCAACCTTCCTTTTGTGGTATTTAACCTTATGGTCAAATTTCAAAAAGATCCATTCACTTAAACTAAAGTTAGAGTGCGAAAACCAATATGTATTCGGACGACGACGCCGGACGACGACGACGACGACGACGACGACGACGACAACGTCATACCAATATACGACCACAAAATTTTTTTGCGGTCGTATAAAAAGAGAAACCAACAGCCTGGTTTAAACTAAAACAATAAATGAAAACAATTGTGGCAGACACAAGACAACAACATCAAAACAGGCTCCTGACTTGGGACAGGTTCAAAAGAATTGGGTAGGGTTGAAAAATCTTATTTACTTATTTTCTTTTTCAATAAAAATGGCTGTCACCACAGATTTTTTTACAGGCTTTAGTCTCAGAAATCTGCTGTTCTTCACACATTCTTGATCTAAAATCTATTTTAATTTTACAAGCAGTAATATAGATACATGTATATTCTTAAAATCATTATTATTTGTAACAACTGAAAATTAAGATTAAATTGGTGTGGCCTTATCAAAGAATCTACATTTTTTTGTCTAAAGAAGTCGATATTGAGATTATTTTTATTCTGAAGCAAAAATAAAATTTGCAATGATGAAATAACCATATATATAGTGTTGTTATTGAAAATCTTATACTTACGCAAAATTATTTGTGTAATATTCCAGAAACCCTAAAAAAAGATCTCCTAGAGTCTGGTCATTTTTACTTTTATACTTCAGCTGGTGATCAAATCTTAATGCTGTTATATCAGACTCTGAATGGAAAATATCCTGGAAGAAAAGTAAAAAATAACATTCATACAATCAGTCTTAAAGATGGTTAAAATATACTATAAGTACTAAATAGTAGGATTTTCCCCAATTTCATATTCCCATATAATCAGAATTTAAAATCAACTTCATTTTCAGGTCATATTTTCAATTTCATTGAATATCTTTCTGATTTTAAATTAACCAATATTAGTCCCAAAAGCAACAGAAATCTTTTTAGAATTTAAATAAAATGCTTCGCTGGGGCGCAGCTTGATACGACCGCAGAGGTCGAACCCTGAACAGTTGGGGCAAGTATGGACACAACATTCAAGCTTGATACAGCTCTGAATTTGGATTGTTATTAAATATTTGACACAGCATAGGTTTCTGACACAGAAAGAATGTGGTCTAAGAACTTGAATTTTTTTAATTTACCTATTATGGTCCAATGTCCAAAATCAAAATACATGGTTAGATTCAGCATATCAAAGAACCCCATATATTCAATTTTTGTTAAAATCAAACAAAGTTTAATTTTGGACCCCAACTTGGACAAACTTGAAAACTGGGCCCATAATCAAAAATCTAAACACATGTTTAGATTCAGCATATCAAAGAACCCCAAGAATTCAATTTTTGCTAAAATCAAACTAAGTTTAATTTTGGACCCTTTGGACCTTAATGTAGACCAATTTAAAAAACGGGACTTAAAATTAAAAATCTAAATACACAGTTAGATTTGGAATATCAAAGAACCCCAATAATTCAATTTTTGATGAAATCAAACAAAGTTTAATTTTGGACCCTTTTGACCTCAATATGAACCAATTTGATAGCGGGGCCCACAAATAAAAAATCTAAATTCATGGTTAGATTCAGCATATCAAAGAACCCCATATATTCAATTTTTGTTGAAATCAAAAAAAGTTTAATTTTGGACCCCAACTTGGACCAACTTGAAAACTGGGCCCATAATCAAAAATCTAAACACATGTTTAGATTCAGCATATCAAAGAACCCCAAGAATTCAATTTTTGTTAAAATCAAACTAAGTTTAATTTTGGACCCTTTGGAACTCAATGAAGACCAATTTAAAAAACGGGACCCAAATTAAAAATCTAAAAACACGGTTAGATTTGGCATATCAAAGAACCCCAATAATTCAATTTTCGATGAAATCAAACAAAGTTTAATTTTGGACCCTTTTGACCTCAATATGAACCAATTTGATAGCGGGGCCTACAAATAAAAAATCTAAATACATGGTTAGATTCAGCATATCAAAGAACCTCATATATTCAATTTTTGTTGAAATCAAACAAAGTTTAATTTTGGACCCCAATTTGGACCAACTTGAAAACTGGGCCCATAATCAAAAATCTACATACATGTTTAGATTCAGCATATCAAAGAACCCCATATATTCAATTTTTGTTGAAATCAAACAAAGTTTAAATACTGGACCCTATCTTGGACCAACTTGAAAACTGGGCCCATAATCAAAAATCTAAACACATGTTTAGATTCAGCAAATCAAAGAACCCCAAGAATTAAATTTTTGTCAAAATCAAACTAAGTTTAATTTTGGACCCTTTGGAACTCAATGAAGACCAATTTAAAAAACGGGACCCAAATTAAAAATCTAAAAACACGGTTAGATTTGGCATATCAAAGAACCCCAATAATTCAATTTTCGATGAAATCAAACAAAGTTTAATTTTGGACCCTTTTGACCTCAATATGAACCAATTTGATAGCGGGGCCTACAAATAAAAAATCTAAATACATGGTTAGATTCAGCATATCAAAGAACCTCATATATTCAATTTTTGTTGAAATCAAACAAAGTTTAATTTTGGACCCCAATTTGGACCAACTTGAAAACTGGGCCCATAATCAAAAATCTACATACATGTTTAGATTCAGCATATCAAAGAACCCCATATATTCAATTTTTGTTGAAATCAAACAAAGTTTAAATACTGGACCCTATCTTGGACCAACTTGAAAACTGGGCCCATAATCAAAAATCTAAACACATGTTTAGATTCAGCAAATCAAAGAACCCCAAGAATTCAATTTTTGTCAAAATCAAACTAAGTTTAATTTTGGACCCTTTGGACCTCAATGTAGATCAATTTAAAAAACAGGACCCAAAATTAAAAACCTAAATACACGGTTAGATTTGGCATATCAAAGAACCCCAATAATTCAATTTTAGATGAAATCAAACAAAGTTTAATTTTGGACCCTTTTGACCTCAATATGAACCAATTAGATAACGGGGTCCACAAATAAAAAATCTAAATACATGGTTAGATTCAGCATATCAAAGAACCCCATATATTCAATTTTTGTTGAAATCAAACAAAGTTTAATTTTGGACCCCAATTTGGACCAACTTGAAAACTGGGCCAAAAATCAAAAATCTAAATACATGTTTAGATTCAGCATATCAAAGAACCTCATATATTCAATTTTTGCTAAAATCAAACAAAGTTTAATTTTGGACCCTTTGGACATTAATGTAGACCAATTTGAAAACTGGACCCAAAATTAAAAATCTAAATACACTGTTAGATTCGGCATAACAAATAAATAAATGTGATCAAAGATTTTACAAATCTAATGCGCCATACTGTGCAATTAAAGATTACTTCTTGAAATTTTTCAATATTTGAAATTTGAAAAAAAAATAATATTTGAAGAATAATTCTTTTTAATTTCTGAAATCTGAAATGAGAAAAAATTGGCCCCCCACAATTTCTTTTTATCCCCCCCCCCTTTTTCCCCCAAAAAAATTCTTTCCCTCAAGATATGGTCATAATCTCAATTCAAATTTCCAATGGAGTTGGCAACCATAATTACCCATTTAAATTTACCATAGTGCTAACTTAATCTATTTTATGAAAACATTTGCAGATATTTTTACTGGTCTTCCTTTATAAATATGCATTTCTTTAAACATAATTTCAAAGCAGTGTAAGGGAAGTAACCAAATCGTTGTATTTGGATTACCTCCCTTACACTGTTTTAGATTATCTTTATTGTTCATTAACCATTACTTTATACATAATTTAAAAGCAGTGTAAGGGAGATAATTTCAATGATGTATTTGATTTATCTCCCTTACACTGCTTTAAATTATGTTTTGTACTAAAGTATTTGTCCATTAACCAGGACAACCTTGTTTTTCCCCCTTTTTTGCCCCTAATTCCTAAACGGTTTGAGCCATAACCCCCAAAGCATATCCTAACCATCCCTTTGTGGTATGGAAACTTGTAGTATAATTTCAGAGAGATCCATACACCGTTCCACAGTTATTGTCTGGAAACTAGAAAATGCTCATTTTTGGCCCCCTTTTGGCCCCTTATTCCTTAACTGTTGGTACCATAACCCCCAAAATCAATCCCAACCTTCCTTTTGTGGTATTTAACCTTATGGTCAAATTTCAAAAAGATCCATTCACTTAAACTAAAGTTAGAGTGCGAAAACCAATATGTATTCGGACAACGACGCCGGACGACGACGACGACGCCAACGTCATACCAATATACGACCACAAAATTTTTTTGCGGTCGTATAAAAAAAAACTAGATAGAATGTGTCTGTAACACATATATATATATATAGTGTATGTGTGTGATAATAATTAAAGGGTGACATTCTTACAAGTCATGCATTCTGATTATGGAATGAACGTAAAAAACAAAAAACAAAAACTTGTATTCTTATGCAAAATTCGGATGGAAATATTTATAAAGGATTTCACAAACCATGTGCTCATTTATGATTGCTGCTGTCAATCTTAAAGTATAATGTTGACTGCCAAAAAATAAGTCTATTTATCAGGAAGATCAATTTTTTTCAGATATCATTTCCGTATCTTGAAGAAGCTTCTGTCCATGTTTTATAACATTCCATGACGGTTTAAAAAAAATCATTGTTTTCGATCCAAAAACCAAAACCAAAAAACATAGTAAGGTTAATCAGAAACAACAATACATGACATACTTACAGGATAAAGTTTTTGTAGTGATGGCAGAACTTGTGGTTTACATCCAACTAAAAAAAATTGAGTTAAAGATAACTGTAATAGCTTGCAAACTACATAATATCTGAGACAATTATGATTATAAATGTGTTATCTTTAGCAACTATACCATTTTTCTTTTCACATTTATCACTCATCACTTGATTTCTAAACGTAAGCAGCAATGCCAACTAAAGAAGGATCTGCTTGCCCCATTATAAAGCGCCTGAGTGTCCACAAGTATTTGAAAGGTTCAATAAATTTTGATTGATTGATTGATTGTTAGTTGCTTAACGTCCAGTGTAATAAATTTTGATGACAGATGCAAAGAAAGTTGAAGTTACATTTACAGGTGACAGTTTCATTCACTTTATGATCCCTAAAGGTTAAGTATCACAGAATAATACAGCTATGAAATGAAAAATCTTGATTTCAAACACAGTTGTTATGTCTTATACTCTAATATAGTATTTCAGGATAATTATTTTCCATGCCCTATGCTTCCTGCAACTTTTCATATGGCAATTCAACATGCTTCATATATTAATTCAAAGCTATACTAGATAGTAAATAGAATCTGTAGCTATTATAGATAGTGAGTCTCCCAAGAGTCCTATTTGATGGACCCAAGTTCTGCAAGTTTATATATTTTGTACATCCTGGGAGTGTCCTTTTCTAGAGATGCCAGTTAAACGTTATATTGGCCGCCATTTTGTTTTCTGGTGACTGATATCACTGGAAAATGCCCATTGTTATTGTCAGATTTCCTCCTTTTATTAATCTGTTATCCTTCATATGTAGCTTTCCTTTTGTAATAAATTATTAACATTTATTTTCATATTGTTGTTTTTACTAAACATCGTTTCGTTTGTAATTAATCGAGTCAGAATAAAACTTACGTGTACGACTTTTTGCGTTTTTTCTGGGGATGTCTAGTTTGTAGTAAAAAATAAATATGTTCCTGACGTCATACGTATGTAAAATTATTATCCAATGAAAGCGGAGATTCCCATTTACTGCTTTTCACTTTCTAGGGTGTCATGACTGATCAAAGAACAACTAGTACATGAGGTCTTCTTAAATATAACTTGGCAAATAATATGTGGAAAATTTATGAAATTTCTGTATATTTACCTATTCTATGATGCACTTATATACTTACATTGTAAGTAGTGAATAACCATGAGACAGAGAGAATAACTAGATATTGTCATCTTCCTGGCATCATTAATGTCATGGAAACGAGACCACATCTTAATGTATAGCATTAATGGACGTATTCGCCAATCCACTAAAAATTTAAAAAAGGAAAAAAAAATAAAATTCATGTATAAATAAATTGGTGACACTGACAGATTTTTGTTTAAATTCTAGTGGCAAATATTACATGCATATCAGTACAAGAACATTTTTATGTGATATGAATATAAACCCTGCTTTGTACCAGACCCATACTGTTTTAAATGTACATGTCTTGGAATTCATTAGAAAAATGTGAGGCATGGCAGGGACAATTCTATGAAATGAAACATAAACAAGATCTGTAAGTCATGGTTATACATTAATTTACACAAAAAATCAGTTCAAGATTGGCGGCATTACCAAAACAGTCCAGACAAGTATGATTTTCATGAAATGTTCGAAGTCAAAAAGCCAAATATACGCAAAAAGTCTGTCAACTGAAACAAAATACAACTGGATCTATTACCTTTCAGTCATGAGGCAAATAGTAATAAGAAGATGTGGTATGAGTGCCAATGAGACAACTATCCATCCATATCACAATGTGTAAAAAGTACACAATTATAGGTCAAAGTACTGCCTTCAACACGTAGCCTTGGCTCACACCAAACAGCAAGCTATAAAGGGCTCCAAAATGACTAGTGTAAAACAATTCAAACAGGAAAACCAACTGTCTAATCTATATAAAAAATGAGAAACGAGAAACACTCAAAAACCACATCAACAAACGTCAATCACTGAAACAGGTTCCTTACTTAGGACAGGTGCAAACAAATGCAGTGGGTTTAAATGTTTTAACAGGTGCCAACCTTCACCCTAATCTGAATAGTAGTGTAGCATTACAACATAGAAAGACACACTATAAAATATCAATTAAAATGGCTTAACTCAATCAAAAAGACATATTAACAAAAACAAGTAAACATACACTGAGTGAATAAATTTGATCTATGACAAAATATAAATACAATATTAAAAAAAAAAGGGGGGATGTAAAGCAACGTCAACAGGTAATTTTAAATATTAAATACTTATTTTACAGTCTTTGGTGTAAAAATTTCGTGTAGCATAATCCCTTCTTCATGTTTATTGCCATTAAAGGAAACAAACCAGAAGCAAAACATTACATATGGATATGTGGTGTTCTTTGGCAGAGAATTAGCAAATTCTATATTTAAAGTGATTTTTGAATTGAATTGAAACCCCAACCTCCGGAATTGAAGGCAAGCATGCAATCAAGAGTCTACCAATGCAGTTGTAAAGCACCTACAATAAATAACATACTTACACATACAATAATACTTGATAAGATGTGTATTCCTGATTCCTACACTATTGTTTACATTTAAATCACATTCTACTTGACTGTAAAAAACAAAAAATGTAAATTATAATAAGTCACCAATGTATATACTAATCCTATATGTCATAAAGAACATTGCACACAAAATTTCAGGAATTATCTCCCTTTTAAGCATATTTTACTGTAGTTTTTATCTTTAAAAATATATTCATGAGTTTTTAAGTTCTTCACTAATGATTTTTTACTTTTCTACATTTTTTTCTATTGAAATACAAAATTTGTCTTCATCTGAAGATTGAAAATTAAAAAAAATTTAACTGACAATCTTCTAAAAATCATAAATGAAATTCAAAATAGAATTTTTTAAATTAAATTAATTTCTTTCTTTTTCACATGATAATAAAAATCTGTACAAATCTACTTTACTTTTCAGTGTAAGAAAATACCTTATTGTGTCAGTAAACCTGAGAATGGGAACTTTGGCTCTTATCACCATAGATCTGTTTAGGAATGCTGAAAAATTTAAAACAAAATGACACCAATTAGAGTACTTCATCTTTTTCCTTTCAAAAATACTAAATATTTGTAAGTACTATGAAATTTGAACTAATTTTGATGGAAAACATATTTTTAAACTGTCTAATGTGTTAATTTCAGTATTCTAAATATAGACCTACCCTATGATTTAACCTTCAAGTACAAGCACACACAATGTAATTACTTGAAAGTCACCCTCTATTTCACACTCTGATTAAAAATTAACTGACTGTGTCCTGTTCCCAGTTGTAACATTTTGAATGAGTGTGAATTCCCATGGTGGGTGATGCATGCATATCAGCAGTTTCTTCCCCTTGCAACAGATCTATTTCCTTCTGGAGTTCATGCAATCCCCTCAGTTTTTCTTATGTTACCTTGATTTGTCTCTTTTCAATTGATTTATGAGGTTTGAACATCTGTAAACTACCGTCACTTCAATTTACAACCTTATCATGTATCATACATCATTTACAGAGATATTTATTATTGACTCACCACAATACACTAGTCACTGTGAAATATTTCCACCAAAAGAAATTTTTACCTAAATCATTGTTTGTATACTGTATTAATGAATTAGAATACAGCAGCATTCACCAAAATCTTTTCCAACTTTGAGTCTGAAGACCACTATTCTTATATTTTTCTTATGTGTCCAAACAAAATTTTGAAAATACCTACTAGTCCGAACAAAGTTTTACTAGTCTGGGACATCGGACTACTGGATAACGATGAAGACTGTTACAGATTGTGATATACTTACAACATTTACTGAAAGACCTCTGGATGAGATATAATAATTCTGGTGCCTCTTTGGCTTGTTCTATCTGAAAAGAAATAACACAGTAATGTCTGTACCACTGGTCCAAAAAAAAAAATGAAATGAAATCTAGCTTTTGAAAAAAATAACCTAAAAAACCCTAAGATTTTCATTTATTTTTTGCAAAATTGATTTTAACCTCTAAATGTATTTTCAAATTGCATTGTCAGGTCAGGGATCCTATTTGATGATGCTGCCCCTTTATCGTTAGATTATCTTCCACCAATAACACATAATCACAACCATGGTTAAATTTGCAACCTGCCATAGTCAAGGAGTAATACCACCATTGATTTTCCCCTATTAGTCTTTGTAAAATTGGCACTTTTCAAAAATCAAAAAATTGTGCAGAATTTATCTTTGTCTCAAATAAAGAAATACTTGGCATGAGTAAAGTTTTATCTTGTACAGTACTACAGTGAAAATTTCACATAACATTTCATTGTATATATGATAATATAAAGCATCACTGGAAGTAAACCAATTAAATTTTAAACACTTTTTTTCCTGTTTACAAGCTTTAGTAACCATGTCACTTGGAGTTTCCAAAATATTTTAAAGAAACAGCAAATAATAAAATGCTCCGCTGGGCGCAGCTTGATACAACCGCAGAGTTCGAACCCTGAACAGTTGGGGCAAGTATGAACACAACATTCAAGCTTGATACAGCTCTAAATTTGGATTGTGATTAAATATTTGACACAGCATAAGTTTCTGACACAGAATGAATGTGGTCTAAGAACTTAAAATTTTTTTTATGGTCCAATATCCAAAATCTAAATACATCCACGGTTAGATTCAGCATATCAAAGAACCCCATATATTCAATTTTTGTTGAAATCAAACAAAGTTTAATTTTGGACCCCAACTTGGACAAACTTGAAAACTGGGCCCATAATCAAAAATCTACATACATGTTTAGATTCAGCATATCAAAGAACCCTAAGAATTCAATTTTTGTTAAAATCAAACTAAGTTTAATTTTGGACCCTTTGGACCTTAATGTAGACCAATTTGAAAACGGAACCAAAAATTAAGAATCCAAATACACGGTTAGATTCAGCATATCAAAGAACCCCAATATTTCAATTTTGATGAAATCAAACCTTATCATTATTATTTGCTTTTATATATAAATCAAAAATAACCAACTTAAAATGGAAAATTTTAAAGAAAAAGAAAAAGGGGAAAAAAAAGAAAAAAAAAAATCCCCCCCCCCCCCAATTTTTTGAACCCCCTTATGATTCATCACCCCAAACTCAATCCCAGCCTTCCCTTTTTGGTATGGTAGCTTGCAGTACAATTTCAGAGAGATCCATACACTTGAACACAAGTTATTGTCTGGAAACTGTAAAAATGCTTGTTTTTGGCCCCTTTTTGGCCCCAAATTCCTAAATGTTTAGGGAAATTACCCCCAAATTCCTAAACGTTTTGGGCAATTACCCCCAAACTCAAACCCAGCTTTCCCTTTGTGATATGGAACCTTGTAGTACGATTTCATAAAGATCCATACACTTACACACAAGTTATTGTCCTGAAACTAGAAAAATGCTTGTTTTTTGCCCCTTTTTGGCCTCTAATTCCTAAAATTTTGAGGCAATTACCCCCAAAATCAATCCCAGCCTTCCCTTTGTGGTATGGTACCTTGCAGTACAATTTCAGAGAGATCCATACTCTTGAACACAAGTTATTGTCTGGAAACTAGAAAAATGCTTATTTTTGGCCCCTTATTCCTAAACGTTTTGGGCAATTACCCCCAAACTCAATTCCAGCTTTCTCTTTGTGATATGGAACCTTGTAGTACAATTTCAGAAAGATCCAGACAATAACACACAAGTTATTGTCATGAAACTAGAAAAATGCTTGTTTTTTGCCCCTTTTTGGCCCCTAATTCCTAAAATTTTAAGGCAATTACCCCCAAAATCAATCCCATCATTCCCTTTGTGATATGGAACCTTGTGGTACAATGTCAGAGAGATCCATACACTAACACACAAGTTATTGTCTGGAAGTTACAAAAATGCTTATTTTTTGCCCCTTTTTTGCCCCTAATTCCTTAACTGTTGGTACCATTACCCCCAAAATCAATCCCAAATTTTCTTTTGTGGTATTGAACCTTGTTGTAAAATTTCATAGAGATCCATTCACTTAAACTAAAGTTATTGTGCAAAAACCAATGTGTCTTCGGACGACGACGACGCCAATGTCATACCAATAGACGACTGCAAAATTTTTTTGCGGTCGTATAAAAAAAGAATGATGCTTTTAAACACCCAAGATATATGTTTATGACTCAGAAATATTTTTCTGCAATGAAATGCAGGGTTAATCTCCTACAACTCTCAAAATCAAGGGAATGTTTTTTTTCTACCCTTTTTCGTATGAAACCGGATGTGACTGTGACAGTGATTTTGCTAGCACTTGTCATATTTGTCATTTACAAAACGGTTTTCAAAATGACGAAAGTATTCCAAATCAATTTCGTCACTTAAATTTAGAAAGAGTAAAAATATTTTCGCATGAAAATACTATAATTCTACCTATCTTATTGTTTCTGACAAGTTTATGACCCTCAGCTAATAAACATTTACAACAGGTGTTACAAGTTGTGATTACAGATAATCCGCTTATCGCCATCGGATGGGTCACTAATCCGTTAATTATTTATCAACCTCATAATTGATCATCATAATTATTTTCCCCAGTAAAATCAGTCAGTCGGCATTTCAATTTCATTATTTATCAAACGAGCACAATTTGCAGTTCGTTTGTCGTAGTTTTGTCATTTGAGTTTTCCCTCGGACAGTTTGCATTCTAATTTCAATATTTCTCAACGTTCGCTTGTCGTAGTTTCGTCAAATTCGTCATATTTGATATAACTTTTAATCAAAAACTTTCGACAATTTCGATTATAAAGATAGAACTTTATTCATAACATTCAGAAATGTTTTCATGAGTCTAACAGGTGCTTCCTGACCTATGAACTGTGCATGCGCGAAAGTATTCTAATGAATTTAAAGACACTAAAACGTAAAATACGAAATAATTAAGTATCAAACTAAACGAGAGAGACAAATATAGTTCTTATTTAGCAAATTTAATTTAAAAAATGATAATTTCCTGCCTTTTTTAAACACGAACCAATCCGTAGATGAATCCGGAATCATTCCGAATTTATTATCCACTTGCCACTTCCCGTTTTCATCTCATTTGGAAATCGAAAGTAAACGTGATCTATTCATGATAAATTTACAATTTAAAGTCATTAGAATTGGTTCCAACTTTATAGAATTAATTCTAAATATCGCTTTAAAACGTTTTTAAGGATAATGAGTATGAATAATGCAGTGAAATAGTCCTTACAAGTTCATTTATGCTGTGATTCCTGGTTTTAAAAAAAATGGATCCCAACTTTTGCTGATTAGGAATGTACCTTGAAACTAACTGAAGTGAAATGGTGAATTAGATTTCTAGATCTTATATCCTAATCTTCGTATTAAAGTGCCACATCAGTCAAATCATGCAGTAACTGCCTAGTATGCCTAAGTCCTTCAAAGTCTGACAAAGATGTATAGACAGTAATATACATCCTAGGTCCCTTGCTGCTAACCAAAATAAAGTTGATTTTCATCCCGCGCAAAAGTGACTAAAGCCCTCAAAATCCTAGCTTTAACCCTGTGTGACATACTATGATTCGGTGGTATTACTCCTCAAGTATCTGTGTAATAGTTGAAAAGTGTAAGCAAATTGGTTTTTGTTTTTGCCCTCAACAAATCTTAATTAATGTGTTACAAAAAACGTGATATGAAATTTCTTGTTGTTCATGCTGCAAACTGTTGATTTGAGATAGTTCAATATGACATGACTTCTGATTTGAAGTTGGCAGTCTGAAAAATGTCCCAAGATTTTTTCAGTCCTAAAAATTAACAGAAAAAGTAGAAATAAACATCTGGAGCTCTGGTTCTTATTGTATTTAATGTTGAAAAAGGTACATAACACTACAGGGAGATAACTCTCTAAAAATCAGCTGACCATTTATAATCACGTTCTATTGTTAAGGAAATATTAAGCTTCTCAATGATCAAAATTAGTGTTTGTCAAACTGCTATATATCCAATGAAATTTTTCTGATTAAGTGTGTGGTTCAAGTTTTTTGTATTTTTTATATTTTTGTCAAAGGGTCAAAGTAAATATTTTCTCAAAATTTTATGAAATTTAAACAAGCGAAATTTAATTTTAGTCAAGGTGTTTGGTACCACCTCAAAAAGAACTTGGTGTACTGAATATAGGTAAGAACCAAGAATTGGAACAGATTGTCACAGACTAGATGATGAGCAATCTCTTGATTGTACAAACAAAGGGATACCATGACAGGAAGACCTTGATGTTAACAGGACAGTTGGATTGTGGTCATCTTTGTTTATAAATAGATGCCAAGCTTCATATTGGTATTGGAGCAGATGACAATTAATAACATGAATGATAACATTGGTTATTCATAATGAAATTTATATAATAATCAATATCTATCAGTCTATTCATTATTCCTATGAGAAATGAAATAATTCTGATTGTGGCACACAAGGTTTTGATCTGAAGAAAGTTCCTCCATGGTTAAATTTTCATTAAAAACTAAACAAGTCCAAAAATCACAATTTCTACAAATTCACAAATCAAAATCATTTTCTTACAAGATATATACTGACTAAGTATTCAAGAATAATTTGTACTGGTTCATCTGCAATTATGCACATCTAAAATGTTTGTACAATAGATAGACATTTGTTTGATTAATTCAATACATACTGGTTGGTCTGTGATCATAAGACATAGATCCATATCTGATGTCATTGTCCCACAGCCACTCATAGAGGAACCAACAATATATAAACCACAATCTGAAAATGCAAAATGAATTGATTTCTTATTTTTAATATTTTGTAAATCAATATCCTTATTTTGAACTATACTTGTCTGTTCTATGGTCGGGTTGTTGTCTCTTTGACACATTCCCCATTTCCATTCTCAATTTTATTTTTTCTGAAGTTGTTTTCAGAGACAATTTGACATTAACTGCAATGACAGAAAAAAACATTTGTTTTGTGGGCTGCCAATATTTTAGAAATAATTTAAGTTAACATTCTAGCAAAGTGTGTTGAATTTCATCAGTAAATGAATGTATGTCAAAATTCAAGTCATAGTGAAAACTGCAACACCAATGTTTGGAATATTGCCATAGAAACTGTCATAACAGAGAAATAGATCTATTACTGCGACAGAGTTTATTTCTATATGTTTCATTTATTACCATTTTATATTTCAACAGTCACTATTCAAAACATCGGCCCAAATAATAAGATTAAAATGCACTTTATGATGATTGATAATCAGCCTACAATTGTGTATATATATGCAGGTATTATCATTTCAGATATTTAAGACTACAACTATATCTCTAAAATCAAATGTAGGCATGACAAAAATACTTACGTGGTAACACTCCATTTAATATACTGTAGAGAGCATCTCTTAATTTGACTTTCTTCATGTACATTTCCTCTGTTTGATGATTCTCAACAAAGTATTCTATCATAGCTTGTGTTATCTGTGAACAGAATTGATGAATTTTGTAAATGTGCATACATGTACATGTATATTGAGGCTTATCTTTTTTTTTCATAATATGTTTTCCCCTCGTAATTTAAAGGTTTAAGTTTTACAGAACTGCTGTAAACCATTATAGTATCTAATACAATTTCAATTTCACACACAGTCCATTTTAGATGTGTTCCTGAAAAATCCTGTTTACAGTATTCCGTTTGTCCTTGCTCTGAGCATTTTAATTTTTGAAACATCTTTAAGGTGGTGAATCCAAAGTGAGTAAAATTTACCTGTGAGTTTGATGAAGACTTAGGAGTTGGTGGTATCCTGAGTACGTAATCTTGTTTAGATCTCTTACTTTTACTTGGTGAGTCATCATCATCTGATTTTCTCCTAAAATGATAAATTTGTTTAAATTAGTGAGTACAGCTTTTGAGATATCAACGGAGCCTCCCAATATTTATCAAGATTGTGGGAAATAAGATTGCATGCTTTGTCATGGTCACCATGCCCCCACTAGTAATTCAAAGTATCAAATAAATGGGGAATGTGTCCATGGGACACAGATGATGCCCCTGCTTGCATACGTTATAAAGTGATACATGTATAACTCAAGAACTGTAAAAGTGACGCTACCAAAATTTGTACTTGATCTGAGTTTTGTGGTAATAAGCATTGTGCATAAGTTTCATAACATTTGGTTGAGGCAAATTAAAGTTAGAGAACAGAAACAAATATTTCAGGAATTTTTCCATTTGTAAAGGGGCATAACTCTAGAACGGTAAAAGTGACTCCACCAAAATTCAAACTTGATCTGTGTTTTGTGGTACATGTAATAAGCATTGTGTATAAGTTTCATAACATTTGGTTGAGGCAAACTAAAGTTAGAGAACGGAAACCGGGGGGGGGGGGGGGGGGGGGGGGGGGAGGCATAGGAAGTAAACAGTAGTGTCTGAGAAATATGTGAAGCAAAATTTTCAGATGTACATTTTTTCTAAAAAAAATGCAAAATAAGTATCTGCAAACAGAAAGAAGATACCTGACAGATTGGAAAAGTACTCTCACATTAAAACATGTTTTCTATACACCACAAAATCACAGGAAAACAGTTATTTGTTTCTTCAAATTGCACTGATTGTAAGCTTGATTTTACTTCTATTAGTTGTTCTTACTTAGCCAAGTATCAGAATGTCCTACCTCAGACATTGACAGAGAAGTACCCTATAGAAAAATAACATACTCCAGAGTCAAAAGTTGGTAATATGAAAGAGGTCTACTTAAATCCATTGTGTCACTTACTTTTTAGAGGAATTTAAAGCTGTGTAGTTTGAATTATTATGCAGGTCATCATCCCCTATTTCAATATTTAGCTGATTAATTATATCTTGTCTTATATGGTCACGAACACTTGAATAATTGTCCTGTTGCTGCCAATGCCTCTGTTCAGGTCGACGCCCAACAGGAAAAGGCGGACGTCCCTGAAAACGTGGGCGTGGTCTAAAATTTTGTTGCATTGGCATATTCATGTTGTAGTTTTGCATGTAAGCCGGATATTGCTGCTGCACATAATACATATAATTTTGGTCCTCAAACTGAGGATTGAAACCTTGGTGATACATTGTCTGTGAGTTATCAAGGTATTTATCTGTTGCACAAGTCCATTCAGATTTTAGTACAGCAATCCATTGAAGAAGTCTAGCTACTACTGACTGTTTACGAGAAAACTGTACTTGACCCAAAACACTGCATGCCATACAATCTGAAGGAAAAAAAAACATAATTTAAATGGAAAAAGATGAAGGGGATTTCCAAATAAATGCTGCTTGATTTTTATATTATAGAATCCCACTTTTGAACAATACAGTTGATTTATTTGGATTTCATGTTGAACATGAAATTTCTTTCAATTTATTTTATATAGACCAAATCTAAATACTACATGTGTAAGTCTACTACTTATACATGAAAATAAAGTCAACACCAAATGACAAATGTCAGCATGGCTTTTTTTTTAGATATCAAATATTGTTGAGTACAGCTTTTGAGATATCATTGGAAGCCTCCCAATACTGTAAATTCAGAAATTATTGCGATGTTTTTATTATTGCGAAAAATGCGATAGGGTTATAATTGCAATAATTTAAACTTGCATTTTGAAATTTTTATATGAATTAAACAGGATTTTTCTCAATATCGCAAAAATTAAAATCGCATTTTACCTTAAAATGACAAAATCGCAATAATAAATGCACGCAATAATTTCTGAATTTACAGTATTTTTCAAGATTGTTGGAAATAAGAATGCATGCTTTGCCATGGTTATAGTTACAGAGGAATAGGCTAATCCTACAATCTTTACCGATTGTGAAATGAGGTCCAAGTCAAATTAAGTCAGACCAACATATAATCCTTACAACAAATCCACATACATGCACTAAATATTGTTGAACTTGAGAAAAAATCTTAACCTGTCCAGTGGAGCATGAAAATTAGGTCAAAAGTTAAACATCAGATAAACATAAACGTGTAACAATGAAAAGTCCATACCAAATATTCTTTTACATTTGTACATGTAAATTTCATGCAGCTACTTAATAATACACATATTAAATTAAAAAATCTTTAAATATTTAGATGATCATTGTAGCAGGAAAATGAGGCTAGTATGGTTAGATGAATGATGATGATGATGGATGTTGAACAGATTGGGGATTACCTCCAAATGGAATACAATTTTACTGTACAAAACAAATTTTTGGGGGATTTAAGGGAAAATATTGCAAAGTGAATATTATTAAATTAAAGGCAACAACTGTTGATTAGTAACTTTTCTCAATACTGGATTGTTTATGAGTTGGATCCCTTGGAAGATGTAGATTTTCTGAAGGATCAATCTACCAACTTGTTCATTTACCATGTTTACTGGTAAAGTCGCTAACCAAAAGTTGCTACTATTGACCAAGACAAATGCACTTTTCAATATTTTTGCTAAATTAAAAAAATTAGAGTTATAATAACCCAAATGATTATTTATGACCCATTTGGGAGGCAACAGGAAACTTCATGGTTATTTCAGCCATGTTGAATAGGGGGCTTATTTTTTGGATGGAGGATGAAATAGTACGAAAGTACATTTCCAAACATCCATTCTGTTTCAATGAAGTTTTACCGTATTTTTCAAAGCATTATTCCTCCATTATGAAAATCTGCCCCCTATTCAATAAGGCTGCAAAAACAATGAAAAGGTCTATCCCATGTAAACGTATATTTACTCTGCCTAACAGAAGTTCCCCTGGAACCTTTAATATAAACAATGCCATAATGTCTGTTCCAGTTGCAACAAATATTCTATACCCTTTATTCCGTTAGAAACTAATACTGTAATATTTTTTTCAGTGGAAATAATACAACTGTATAATAGAACATCAGTCTGGTTAAAATCATACTTCTAGCTTGCTATTGTTATTGTCCCACATGACATATTAGAAAATGCCAGCTCTGAGAGATTTGATTTTAATCAGACTGACAGAATATTTCTTCTACTTGGAACTTATAAAGTATTATGAAGACTTTTAATTTCCATGACATCCCAAACCTGTTAAAGCTAAAATGCAGTTTCTAAAACAAATTTCAGTAGTGACAGTCAGTTGTGAGAGGGACAGGTTATGCTATAATCATTGTGAAATTGTTATATTTTGAGTATATGCCCCTTGGCCTCTAGTGGACCTTGAGGGTCCATGATATTGCCATTATTGGTCAATGAAAATCTTAAAAAATTTTCCTTTGACAGTCAGTTTTCAGAATTGATAATTTGCATGTATATTTTTGTTATTATAAGCCATTGCTTGTAATTTTTTTTACTCAATCGGTTAAATGACCCTTCTCTTATCAGCTTATCTTACTTCAGTTTCGGCGTAACTGAGCTGATTTTGTAAACACAGTTCAACGTGGTTTAGGGACCTGTGGACTACGTCACCGATATTGAGGCAACACAAATTTGAATAAAAGCAAGATTTCACAAGTTAATGAAACGTTGTTACAACGCGTTTAAAAATACCACTATCAAAATTTATTACTTAATAATAGAGAAATGATGGAAGTAACTGTTACTACTCATTTTAATGGTCTATTGAACGATTTTGCATTGTCGGTTGTTGACTGAAGGATGTTATTTCAAATCAGTTTACATGGCTCGATCTGGGACTAATCCTCGCATAATAGGTTTTCGTGCTATTAAGAATGCATTGTGACGCCACAATTTCCATTGAAAAAGCATGCATAGTACTAATTCATATGATGTACGAAAACATATGATCTGACGATAAGTGTATAAAAGCATTATGTCCCCATGCAGATGAAGCTTGGTAAAACTTATCTTGAAATAATATTCTGACTTGGTAAAACATAATTTCAATCAATTTTGTTTAATATAGAAATTCCAATAGGACAATTGATTGAGTTAATCTTTAATCAGACGGTCATCATTCAATGGTATTTTCGAACGCTATGTGAAACAAACAATATGATATATAATTAAATGATAAGAAATACTTTTTTTTAAAGAGCCTAACATCAGATAGTACAATAACAATCTCCCCATACGCTTCAGAATTTCAAGGTTCTTTAATATTTTATTCGCCCCAACTAAGACAGGACTATTATAGTACACCATTGTCCACCAATCCGTCTGTCAACACTTCGTATGATTACTAAGATTTTCTTTAACAAATTATCATGTAATTTAACACCGGTTGACTAAGTCAATCAGAGTAAACGACACCATCGAACAATTGGTTCTAACTGTGGCCAAGGAATTGTATATTTAAAAGGAATGGAAACGCGGCTCGAGATCAATCGGGATACCCGCAGAGCACACGCAGAGCTATAATCCATGTTTGTCTCAGTCGGAAGTATGATGAATAATATAAAGAATCATGACAGAGGTCCATTTCCTGTCATATAGATCGGTCTTTTAATTCACGGGGTCATCTTGCTTGAGAAGATATAAAGGAGAGAGAACCCCAAAATCAAGAATAAACTTTTATTCCATGAAAAAGACAAGGCCTTAGGTATCATTTTAATGCCTCATCAAACATACGTTTGTAATATTGTATTATGTACATTCTCATTAAAATAGACCTTGGTCTTGAAACTTGAGCGAGTTTCATCCGGATTACAAAACAAAAAATACTGTGTTTTGATTTTTTTCTAAAAGCTCTACAACTACGAAGTGCAAAACAAAACAGTTGATATCATTATGAAGCTGAAACCTTATTCTATCATTTTGCCTTTTTTTTAAGTTTCTGGTAAACTTTCTGAATTTTCTACGATTTTTCGAAATTTCAGTTTTGAATTTCATTATTCTGTCAAAATATGTCTATCAATCTGGGAGTGTACTACGATTTCTTTTAAATATTGGAAAGTAGAAAGAACAAAGTGAGAAAATGAGATATCATTTTAAAGAAGGGATATTTTCCTACAGTTTGGTCTAAATTACGAATGCTAAATGTAATTGGTACAATGTAAATGATTTTATTTCGAAACATGTTGAAAATTTGAAGTAGTGCGTCAATAAATACATCGACACTTCGTATTTTGGTAAGGGTTAAATAACTACTTGAAATAGATGTGACATTGACATACAACTTAAAAGCTTAATCCTTTTTCTATCACATAGTGTTGGTTTTATGAAAATGGTGATAAATACGAATTTGCTATGATTTTTCAAAATCCCATGTTTATAGTTCACATTGACGCCATTTTGTTCAGTCAAGTTCCACACCGACGAAGTCGGAAATTACAGGCAAGAAATGTATATAAGACTTCCGATTGGGATTTATTGTGCCGTTTTATACACGATTTTAATCATTTATTTTTTTGTCAAATACTATTTTTATACTAAATCGTTGCTTAGTATTGCAGTTTGCCATTATTAAGCTTTGCAGCAAAATACCACAAGCTCAAAGCAACACAGTTCCTTCCTTTTTTCTAGAAGAGCAGTAATCTAGAGGTCGCAAAATATTCCTTCGGTGTTAAAATAAATAATATGCGAATATCGGAAAGTTTTAACTGTTTCTAATTAAAAAAATTTATTGCACCACGGCATAATTTAGCATTTATTAACAGGTGAGCTCGGCGTGATTTCTTTTTGACACCTTAAATCAGGGACAGCCTATAGTTAGTATACACGGTTCCTGCTTAAATATATATACGACAAAAATTAGCTTATCAATGATACATGATAGATTATACCTGCAAATTGGATATCCCATACCGGTGTTTATTATAACACCTATTATCTAAGTTCGTTTATCTAGACAAAATACTACATCTGTTCACGTACTTCTTCTTTTATACTTTTCTGTACCAGTCATATTCCAAAATTGAAAAGTTATTTTTTTTTAACTTTTTGCATTACCTTAAATCTTTTTAAAAACTCGTATAATGTCAGATTTCATCTATTAATTGATCTTAATTGTTGCATACCTTCGTGAAATATCAAGAGGAGGTACAAGAAAAAAAATGTTTTTCAGAAGCAACTTTGTTTAAGGTTGTTTTTTTTTGTTTATTTCATTTAAGGAATTGTATATCTAAATAGACAATTCCTTGTTTCATTTCATGATTAAATGACCAAGTTCAATAACTACTGCCAGATAAGTAATGAGCCAGTTAGAGCAACGGGATGTAATTAACACACCACCCAAGTCAGAGATGCATCATACAATTTTCTTTGAAGTCGGCCGCGTTTCCATTCCTTTTAAATATACAATTCCTTGCTGTGGCCTAATAAAATAAGCATTGTGACATAGGAAATTTAAGAGAAAGTGCACGAATTAGAAAATCGTCTATTTCACGACAGATACTGTGCTCATTTAGGTTTTGAGATTTTTCATTCTAGAGTTAGGAGACTTTAACCGTTAGATTTATTGCAATTTTTCAATTACATATCGCGCACTATGCCTGGATTGAATATTTCAAACAAAGTAAAAGTTACTTGAATTTAAAAAACGAATTAGCTAATTATAAGATTCAGATATATATATACAACATGTAAGATTAAAGAAATTTATCCACAGTCATGATAAAAATCCATATATTTGTCTCGTACATCATTGAAGAAATATGTTTATGAAACGACTAACACATTATCATAATTCATATGTTTGGCACCAATTGTTTGCATAGTTAGTAGTATCTATTTTTTTCATTTTGAGTTATTCAGAGGCCGAATACGGCCAATATAGGCTCAGTCCTCTGATTCTCCAATTTGTTTTTCTCTTTTATTCACACCGGAACGTCATCAAAATTTGTTGTGGTAGTGACGTCAACGGCCTTGGACACAAATGGCATGAGTTAGGAGGAAACACATTCCGACCAATTATTTCCCGTTATTGACATGAATTAAAAGTCAACAAGCCTAACAGATACAACAAAGAACCGTTTTTAATCTAACGATGCCAGAATGAGTGTTGACGCTTACGCCCCGAATTCCCAAACGTTGACATTCCTCGAAACTGAGGAGGATCTCCTTGGGGCCGACACGCAAGGAACTGATTTTGATTTCACCGATTTTACGCTCCCGTCTCAGACACAATCTCAAACTCAAGCATCACAGCTTGACTCTAATCAAAGCCAGGTAAATAAGCATGTCAGTTTTCTTATCAGTTTAACTCGTCATGGAACGAAAGTATGCAACACGTGTGCAAACTTGATTAACTTTCAGTTTCAACGAGTTTCATTCATGCGTTGAAGTGTATATGATAATTCAAATATACAAAGTATTACATTCATTAATATTATATTCATTCTATCCAGCACTTTCAAAAACTGAAACATCCTTCCAGCACTGAGCTGTCTCAACTAACACCTATAGTCATTAAAATATCACTGCTCATCATTAACTTAATGTGTAAACATGAAATTAAAATCCAGAAAAAGAAACATTATAACTGTTAAAAGAGTAAGGAGATGTTGGTAAATTTAATAGCCGTTGCAGAATTTAAGGACCATGGGTAATTTTATTGTTGGTACAAAATGAAAACTGTGCCACATCATTGGTTTTATTTCAATTGATTGAGACGTTGGAAGTCAATCGCATCGTTAGGGTGTACACTTTTGAAAATATGACCCAGAATTTATTAGATTCTTGAAACTGAAAGTCTCAATCCAGTAAAGTTTCTCTTATTAGTAATTGCCTTTTATCTAGTTTATTTTATATTTCCCACGTAATTTTTTGTAATTCAAAGCTTAGAACTAGGACCCTTGTTAAACTTAAAATTTTAGACCACACAGATTTTCTATTGTTTTGTACAGTGCACCTTTCTGCAAGGACAAGGATTGTTTGGTATCAGCTGTTTGATATCTTCCATTTTCACGGAGTTTACTGATTTATGTTTTTGAGAAGATTGAGACCTATGTTTTTCTTATAAACAAGAAATTAAGTTTATCTGTTTGAGATGTGTTTGTTTATAATATTTATCAGGTGAATGGTATAGATGGCAGTATCCCTAATGATGTGGATGCTAAAGGTACCATTGATGTGAAAGTTAATAATGTTGCACAGGGAGTAGGTGAGCTGAACTTTGAGGAAGATGAAGAGGAACAGTTTTGTATGAAAGATCTCCCCAAACATGCATGCTCGTAAGTTCTCTTAACATTATTAAAAGATGTAGATATTTGAAGCATTTAGCTTTAATACAAAGAATTATTATGATTTAGTAGTTTGTTTTTTTTTGGGGGGGGGGGGGGGGGGACTAGGGAGAAACAGTGCAGTTTTATTTAACATATATACAATGTAATGATATCTTCCAGGGCAATTCTTTTCTCTAAAAACCTGCAGAGATAAAATATTTGTAAAAGAGAGGCGAAAGATACCAAAGGAACATTCAAACTCATAAGGTGAAAATCTGACAACTTCATGGCAAAAAACAAAAAAAGTAAAAGACCAAAAAGACAAACAGTACAAAAAAAATGTAAACAAAACATAAAAGAGGGTACAAGTTTTTTGTAATCATTTCCTCCTACAGATTTCAACCCAGATCCCTGAGATTTAACAGGAAGATTACACATATACAGTCAAACCAGTATATGTATTAAGCAGTCACACGTGGGAAATATCAAAAGTGACCGCTCAAGAGAAGTGACCTCTTAAATGAGGTTCGAAAAAGTTCCGATTTCGACATCACCTGTGCGGGGGTTCCGGTAAATTATTTTAGTGTTTTCAATCGGCAGAGTTATCGTACTTGCGAGCAGCAAAATAAAAAATGGTGGATTCCGGTAATGTAAATTTAAAGAAAAATTTGAAATATTTTAATATTTGTGAAGAAATGTCGTTGATACGGTTTTCAATGGAATTTGACAGAAGTGAAACACGGGGAATTCAGAAATACATTTTCTATAGCGCGATCTCCTTTGCAAGTGGGTTTCGACCTTCCTTTTGACTTCGATACTGATTTCATCATAATTATTTTGTTATTTAAAACATTCAAATGGCCGTAATTAAAAGTTGAAATGATGAATTCGTGCAGAAAATAGGTGACAGCTAAAAACAGTTAGATTATATAAAGAAAATGTTTGGAGTGGTCTGAAATTGACCATTAAGGCAGGTTTGACTGTATGTTGAAGTTGTGCACCAGCTTCATGTATTGGGGACTATTTGCCAACCTGATTTCAGATGAATGTACAAGTTACAACTGCTGCTCTGTTGATTGTTCATATTTAAACAAGATTTTTTATTATAGATACTGTGGAATTCATGATCCAAGCTGTGTAGTATTTTGTAACAGTACAAAGAAATGGTTCTGTAATGGCCGTGGTAACACTTCTGGAAGGTTTGTATTTTAGTCATTTATGAAATTAAAAGTGATGTAATTATCAAGATTTTACTTGAAATATAGATATACAGTTTAAAATTAAATGAGAAATGCTAGAAAAAGTTTTACACACTTTTTTTCCTGAAGCAGGGTAGTATTATAATGATCCGCTGGTTTGGTCAGGAATTTGTTTCATTCTTTTGTTCATCTGCACTTGATATCCCCTTCTTCTCCTAAACCAGTGGCTGTATTTCAATGAAATTTTATATGTAATGGTATTGTGCACAGTGGCTAGATTTCAATGAAAGCTTAATGGCATTGTCCACATGTTTTTCTTGTTTTTGATCCAAGTGTTTTAAGTGGATATGTCTACAGCAAAAAAATGACTTTGGGAAATCTCTACAAATAGGGGAGGAGGGTGATAGATTTATTACATTTAGAGCTCAGCGAAAAGTTTTTAAATTTTGAAACAATTATTCATTAATCAATATTGATCCAAGGTTATCATTAACCACATTAGATTGATTCATGAAAAGCGTCATAATGTTAAACAGAAAATAGTACCTGCATATTCAAATAATGATTTTATAGTCTTTAACATCATTAGATTGATGAGAAAGGGGGAGAAGCAAAATGTAGAAGTTTTGCTAACTGTTTACCCACTCAAACTGTAAAAAAGATTTGTCTTCAACATTTGAGTTGATAAGTTATTCATGTACTCTAAATTCAGAAATTAATACACAATTAATTATTTCAATTTTTGAAAAATCTTCATACATATTTTTTTGTGTCAGATATCAGAATGTGAGTTCTTATTATTGCGATACTCAACCATCTACATTATTGGCATTAATAAAAACCATGGTATAATTTCTACGCTATTCGTCCAGTAAGATTTCAGAATTTTTGATGGGTAAACCAACTAAAGTCCTCTTGTTTAATCTATAGAAATTTGCAATTGGTTGTATCTGTTTTATTGTCAATATCTAACCAATAATAATGTGATAAATGATATATGTGTGTAATTGCAGCCACATTATCAACCATTTAGTCAGGGCCAAAGCAAAGGAAGTGACACTGCATAAGGATGGACCCCTTGGAGAGACAATACTGGAATGTTACAACTGTGGATGTAGGAATGTCTTCTTGTTGGGTTTTATACCAGCCAAGGCCGATTCTGTTGTGGTCTTGTTGTGTAGACAACCTTGTGCTACTCTGTCCAATCTTAAGGATATGAACTGGTAAGTAAAACTGTTACTTTTGAAAAAGTTTTTTTCTTGCACTTGTGTGGTGGTTTATAGTCAACCATGTGATATGCTGTCCAAGTTGAGTATGTGATTATCCATAGTCAGAAGATGTAAGCTCGGTAAGTTTACATCATGAAAAATGGATACCAGATACTACTTTTCAAGCGATCATTAGAAGACTACATTTCCTCACAGTTTTATCTTTTCTAGTAAATTACAATTTATTAAGACAAAGTTCTTGTGCCTCAATTATGCCGTACTGACTAACAGATCTGCTCTATTAAGATCGATATGGTTTTGAAAAAAAAAAATACAAAATTTTTCAGACCTGATTTCTGACAAAAAATAAAATAAGACTTTTCAACATTACAAACAGTATTGTTAGAGGGCAGAATTATCTTCAAGGGATTTTTATGATGCATAGCAGGCTATAAAAAAATCATTAAAAATTTTCCGTTTTTATTACAGGGATCCAAACCAGTGGCAGCCTTTGATACAGGACCGCCAGTTCTTGTCATGGCTAGTTAAGGTGCCATCAGACCAAGAACAGATGAGAAGTCGTCAGATTACAGCCCAGCAGATCAACAAATTAGAAGAACTATGGAAAGATAACCCTGACGCTACTCTAGAGGATCTGGAAAAGCCAGGAGTTGATGAGGAGCCACAACAAGTTCTACTGAGGTAATGAAAACGTTATTTGAAATTCTCAGATGAAAACATATGAATAAAAAGGATGTTGGGTGGATAAAAATGAAAAAGCAACTGAATTATAGTAAATGCCATTATATATATAATAAATTGTCTACTAAATAAGCTAGTGATGTTCACAAAAAGTTATCAAAGAGCCCTATATTATCACAATATTACAAATATGAACACAAGGAAAAGGACAATAGCAACAACTGAAACAGGAATGACTTGAGTCTAACACCTAACTATAATTATAAGACCATAGATTGTCAGAAGGTATAATACATCAAGTTGATTTGTATGCTGTCATCTCAAATAGTTGGGTAGTTGGGGAAACATTTAATTTTTATTTCTGTTATATCTGTGAGTCGATTTAAACTGTATATTGCTACCAAGAATTAAAACTAACCTGTTTTGTGAACATGTTTGCTATTTATGTTGAGTTCAGATATCCCATAGCAGACTTAACTTGTATGTCTGTAAATTTAAATAAATGCAAATAGTTGGTTCCCATCATACATTATTACATTGTTATTGTTATTTAATGATTGTTTGTTTTTTAGGTATGATGATGCATACCAGTACCAGAATATATTTGGTCCTTTGGTCAAGTTAGAAGCTGACTATGATAAGAAGTTGAAGGAGTCCCAAACCCAGGACAACATTGTCGTGAGATGGGATGTTGGTCTCAATAAGAAAAGAATTGCTTTCTTCCACCTTCCCAAAGCTAATGATGGTACTTTTACCCTTTTATTTATTATTTCTTGGAGTTTTGTTTTTCTTTGACAAAAACGAGATAAATTACATTTTAGACAATGAGGCAGAAAAATATACGAAATAAGAGAGAGATTTGAGTAAAGAAAGTGCAATATTTATAATACATTGCAGAGGTCAAGTATAATTTTTGTGCAATAATAATTATATACTTTGCAGTGATGAAGTTGATTATTTCTGCAATAATAATTATGATACATTTCAGAGATGAAATTGATGCATGGAGATGAATTGAGACTGAGATACCAGGGAGAACTACACAAGCCATGGTCTGGTGTAGGACATGTCATTAAGATTCCAGATAGTATCCTTTCTAAATGATTACTAAGTTGATATTTGTTATAAAGGGAAATCAATCTTTGTATGAATGTCTTATAATCTCTTATATTTAATCTTGTTGATAAAACCTTGTAGTTAAAGGGATGAAATTGAGAATGGAAATGGAGAATATGTCAAAGCGACAACAACCCAACCAAAGAGCAGATAGTGTTTATTCATTTCATTTGTTCCCATATCTTGTAAATCCTGTTTTGACATCTGCTGTCAAAAATATTTGAGTCGCTGAACATCTTTAGGTCAACAATTTCCATTACAGATAAGAACAGTACGATAAAAAGCAGAGACAAACACTGATTAGATTCTTGACTATGACATGCAGTTTGGTTGAACTGGTTTTTGGAGTACGTAGCCCCCCTTTTTTTTATTTCAATCAGCAAAATATTGAAAGGTAAAAGGAAGACTGCACTATGAAAGTCAATTTAGGGTAAGCACTTAACTCAGTAATGTTTGTATGACATACAGTACTGCAAAAAGCACAGTAACAGGTGAAACATTAGTAAATATTTATAGGTTATAGATGGTATTTCAAACCAGAGGGTGTTTCTAAGCTGCAATCTCATCGAAAGGGGACATCCCTGAGATGAGATGTGGCTGAGAAACATCCTTGAGTTTGAAATACCATTGATAATCTGTTTAACACTATTTTGCATATGACATTGTTGATGTTTACATTTACAAAGTCACGTGCGCCATAATTTTCTCTTTCTTAGGCGAGTATCATGATATGAAAATTTCACATAAAAAGATTTTTAAAAGGAAAATAGCAATAAAAATACTGGAATGGCTTGAATACAAAATTTCCCTGAAAATGGAATCTTAGAATATAAAGGATATGAAAATGTACAATAGGATTGGCTGCACAATGTATTATAAAGAGTCACTGTATACTGTTTTAAAAATGATCCTTAACCAGTTACCAGATCACAGTGATGAAGTAGCTATAGAGCTGAAGAGTAATGCTGGTGTACCTACAGAATGTACACATAACTTTGTTGTTGACTTTGTCTGGAAATCTACTTCATTTGATAGGTAAGTCTTGTTGATAAAGCATAGGTGTCAACTTTTTAAGAGTTTTAAAGCAGTTGTGTGGTTGGTTTTTTTCCCCCACAAAATACAAGGATATTGTAGATATTACTAATAAACTGTTAATTCAAGATCATTTGATAATGGGTACAAGTACCATTGAAGGCATGTTTGTTTAAGATAAGATTTTGACTGAGATTTTTGTACCACAAAGTTTGATCTTCAAATGGAAGAGGTCAAAGATATCAAATGAAAAATCAACTTACTATCATTACACAATACTATGGATTCATTATTATTCCTGGGATTCCTGTTTTAGCTGATTTTGTTGGTGTAGAACCACAAATTCTATAGGCTTGTTTGCAGAATGTGTCAAAACCATGAAAACAAATAGAAATATTCCTCAATCACAAAAAATTGGTACCCACGAAAATAAACGAATCCACAGTAGTTGTATCTTTGAAAACAATGGTGTCTTTGTGTACATTTGATCTAATTTATAAATAAATTCATAATGTAGATTTACCATTGGCAGTCTTAACTATGATCCTTAACCTCAATATAAGGAAATATTATTCATTGTACAGATTTAGAAGCAACTGAGTCACATGGTTTGCCTCCAAACTGTAAATCTATTTTCTTAATCTCACTGTAGGATGCAGGCTGGTTTGAAGACCTTTGCTGTAGATGAGACCTCAGTGTGGGGATATATCTATCACAAGTTATTGGGACATGAGGTAGAGGATGTCGTCATTAAGTGTCAGTTACCAAAGAGGTTCAGTGCACCAAGTTTGGCAGAGTTAAACCACTCACAAGTTTATGCTGTCAAGACAGTTCTCCAGAGACCACTCAGCTTGATTCAGGTATATTTCTTAGACTTTCATAGAATTATGTGAGCTACTCTCTGTAAATGTAGATTTCGATAGATTATTTTGGAATCTGGTGTTGTCATTAAATTACTTTAGAAATAAACACTAAAAGATGAAGGGGGGATTAAAAATCAGCTACAGCTATGAGAATGACGCACTTTAAATGATTGAATGGTTTGTTATTGGGTCCTTGCAAAATGGGATATAATATGCAAGAGATTTTCATTGGAGAGCATTTAAATTTGATAAATTATGATATCTACTGGCTTTAATTTCATCATTTCATATTTTTTAATAAAAATTTGCACTGGTAAATATTTGAAATGAGCTAAAAGGCTTTTTGAGAACAGTTGTACTCTGCAATGATGGAAAAAAAAGTTTTAGTTTGAGCCTCTTTTTTCTATTACAGGGACCACCAGGAACAGGGAAGACAGTCACTTCAGCCACCATAGTGTATCATCTGGCCAAACAGAACCAAGGACAGGTCTTAGTGTGTGCTCCATCAAACATTGCTGTAGATCAACTCACTGAAAAGATTCATAAAACTGGACTGAAAGTAAGGAATGGAGTCAATTATTGACACCTCATGTGCTGATTGATAATAGGGCTTTTTGTGTAGTTTGTGAACCACTGACTGGACTGATCATTCTCTAAAAAGTATTGGGATTGCATGTTTTAAAAGAAATATGTTGTTATTTCATTTATTTTAAAGGAGCTTCATTCTGAAGAATAAATTATTGGTATGAATAATGAATACAACAAGAAATACAAGATAAATCAAAAGAAGTAAGAAAGATTATAAAGTTTAATTTGAAATATTAAAATTTAGGATTCAGATTTCAGATTATCAGTAATACTCCCATGCAACTTGTATAAAATTTGCAGAAATTGAACATTATTGCTGGCTGTTGGATATTGACATTTATAAATACTCTATTCAGATTTTTTATAGCAATATGGTGCTTTAAATTTCAGGTAGTAAGATTATGTGCTAAGAGTAGGGAGGCCATTGACTCTCCTGTTTCCTTCCTGGCTCTACACAACCAGATCAGAAACATGGACAGTGTACCAGAGTTAGCCAAGCTACAGCAGCTGAAGGATGAGACAGGAGAACTGTCTTCTGCTGACGAGAAGAGATACAGAGCTCTCAAGAAACAGTGTGAAAGGGAACTTCTACAGGTAAATACTAACTCCTTTAATGTTTTGTGGCTCCATTCACAAAATATCTGGTGTTAAAAATTGATTTTTAGTTACTGAAATGTTCATGACTGAATGCGCATGTATTTTAACAAGATATTTTTGTGAAAATTGTGACAGATCTTAAATAAATTGTAAATTAAATAATCAATTGAAATGAAAAGGGAATGTTCTTTTTGTTTAAAAAATGGAACAGTGCTCTCAAGAAACAAAGTAAAAGGAAAATTTTACTGGAACTTGTAAATAAAATGTTTTAAAAGAATCGTTTAATGTAAACTGGAATTGTTTTATATGTGTTTTAAAAATTAAAAAAAGAATAAGATTGGCATATCAAATTGAAAATTAACTTTGATTTCTTTGATACAGCATGCTGATGTGATCTGTGCTACATGTGTTGGTTGTGGAGATCCACGTCTGTCTAAGATGCAGTTCAGGTCTGTGTTGATTGATGAGAGTACACAGGCTACAGAACCTGAGTGTATGATCCCAGTTGTCCTTGGATGTAGACAGGTATGTTTCACAATCAACAGTTTCACTCAAACATGAATTCTTTATAAGCTGTTTTAGTTATAGGCATTGTACCTGGTTAAATTGGTTCTATATGCAATAGTTTTTTTAACTTTAACAAAATTTACATGATTTAATTGAAAATTTGCATTATACACATTTTTTTGTTACCTGCTTCATTATTTGATTGTCTGACATTGACAATTATAACTCTAAAAATAAAACAAAAATGATATGATTTTGATTTTGTGGTTCACCTATTGAACAAGCAAACCTCATTCATTGTCCTTTGTACACTGTCGAAAAGTTCAGCTGTTTAATCAATGCAAAGTAAAATAACAAAAATACCGAACTCCAAGGGAAATTCATAACCCAAAGTCCTTTATAAAATGGCAAAATCAAAAGCTCAAACACATCTAACGAATGGAAAACAAATGTCATATTCCTGACTTGGTACAGGCATTTCCTTATGTAGAAAATGGTGGATTAAACCTGGTTTTATAGCTATTAAACCTCTCACTTGTATGACAGTCATATAGAATTCCATTGTATTGACAACAAAATACAAGTCACTTAATTTTTATACCAGTTGCTTACAATTGATGTCTTATTTATAAAATTTTTTTTTTTTTTTATTTTTAGTTAATTCTTGTTGGAGACCATTGTCAGTTAGGACCTGTAGTAATGTGTAAAAAGGCAGCCAGAGCTGGTCTGTCCCAGTCACTGTTTGAACGTCTTGTTGTTCTGGGTATAAGACCAATACGTCTACAAGTCCAATACAGAATGCACCCAGCACTGAGTTCCTTCCCTTCCAACATCTTTTATGAGGGATCTCTACAGAATGGTGTCTCTCCAGGTAAACTACCTGATTATTCAAAAATTATTGCATGCATTTATTATTGCAATTTTTTTAAGAAAGGACACAAATGTGAGGTTAATTACTGCAATTTCAGGAAAATCTGGATACAGATATATGTACTGATATCATAATTGGAATACTCATGATTGCCTTACTCATGTAGTCACATTATTTGCACAGTACCTAATTGTTCAATGATTTTTCAAGACTTTTTCTTTAATTTTGATTTTTTTAGGGTGAACAAAAATTTGAAACTCAATCCTTTCTCAGATGTGATTAAACTGTCTTTGAGCCTTTTTAGGTGTCCACACATCTGTACATTAATTGAAATATTATTTTTCATACATTCATCTGTGAAATATAATATTTATTCTTTTTCAGCTGATCGTACCAGGAAGAATTTGGATATTCCATATCCCCAGCCAGACAAACCTATGTTCTTTTATACAACTTCTGGACAGGAGGAGATTTCAAGCTCGGGTACTTCATACCTAAACAGGTATTCATTGTTTTGCATTGTAAAAATTAAATTTCATTTGTAAAGAAGTATTATAATGGTGTGTAAATATATGTACATTAAACAAAAATCTCAATAAATTGTAGGAAATAAATATAAAAACAATCGTTTCTTTATTGCTAGGGTTTTTCCAGTAAAACATACATGGTACCCAGGGAAGGCATTTTGAGAATTAAGAACCATCCATAGAAGCAATTTTGGAGACTGTATATACATTTAAAACTTGTATTTAACATCAATTTTCACTTAACCTAAATCTTAATCCTTTTTTTTTCAAAGAAATTTACCTTCTAATGATTTTCTTTTTGCACTAGATAATGTATATATCTTTCAAAATGTTTACCATTCTAACAGGACTGAAACAGCAAATGTAGAAAAGATAGCTACTAGATTTCTTCGATCAAACATCAAGCCAGAACAGATAGGTATTATAACACCATATGAAGGACAGAGAGCTTATATTGTCCAGTACATGCAGTACAGTGGATCTCTAAACAAGAAACTGTATCAGGTAGGTAAAATTAGAAGTTGAAAATAATATATATGTAGAATGTCTCATTAAATACTAGGAAGTTATGTATTAGAGGAACAGTGATTTTATCTCTGTTCTCCATCTTGACAGTTGCTGAAATTTCTTCATTGATGAGCAGAGGGTCTTACATCTTACAGCCCCTAATATCTACTTCAGCATTTCTTGATATTCATTAATTACCACCACATGTTCGGGGATGATACTTATGTGGAAATAGTCATTGAATGATATACTAGTAAACAAACTGGGAAAGTTTATCTGTAGCTACTGTAATTAGTTGTCTGACGAAAATTACATTTAACGATTTCAAAGATTCTAATGATCACATTCCGCAATGAAATATAAATTTATTACTTATCTTCATGTTTTTACATGGAGGTTTTACTGCCATTTATTAAAAGTTTCTGATGATTTGTTTTTGGCAGAAGCAGACTATCTATAGAAGGAATTCAAAGGTTTAATGTATCTATATGCAACATGACTTAAACATTCCTTAAGCTTTTGCATTCTATTACGGGGAAATGTCCCCATCCCCCACAAAAACCCCAACAAAAACCAAAGGGAAGTAAAATAAGAAGAAAACCTTGATCTTTCAATATCAGATGTATATGGCTTAAAACTCACAAAAATTAATTCTCATGGATAATAGGTTGTCTTTTTTGTGGTATTTATATTTACAATATTACTACCTTTTTGTGCATATCAAATTTCTATTAACAGGAAATAGAGGTTGCTAGTGTAGATGCTTTCCAAGGAAGAGAAAAAGATTACATTATACTCTCCTGTGTAAGATCTAATGAACATCAAGGAATAGGATTTCTTAACGACCCAAGACGTCTTAATGTCGCTCTTACTAGAGCAAGGTAAGTTTATTGGGATTTCTGAATAAATTAAGTCGCCAAAATGAGGTTCTTATTCAATAAAGCCTGTAAAATAAACTGATAACGATGTATTGTGTAACAGAAATTACCCAAAATAAGATAGTACAACATACCACACGAACTGCCAACTCCTTTGAGAAAACAGACGTACAATAACAATAGGTTAGCAGATAGCCTGGCTAGATAATAGTTGCTCAGACACGAAAAAAGGTTTTAACATGCACATGGTTATTCCAACTCCGTTAACTTCTTATTGCTTGACATCCTTCTTTGAGTCGAGAGTTAGGGGACTTTATTCAGAATTTTGTTATAGTTTTGAACTTGTTCATCAGTGCTGAATTAATAAATGAGTGTCCTGATATATTCAAATACTTGTATTGTTTTCTTTTTTAGATTTGGAATAATCATAGTTGGAAACCCAAAGGTTCTTTCCAAGGTAAGTTTCTGTATAGAGAAATTTATTTGACATTGTAAGATCTGAATGTAATCATAACAGTATGATATACAAGTCTTATTTATGTGAAAATATGAGAATTACATGCAAGATGATCACAGAACCACATGCCAATGTAAATACTTCTCTACATCTATTCACTTTGAGAACAGATAGTTGAATAAGGTTACACCATTCTTATATCACAGAGCTGCTGAACTAAGCAGTATTTCTTTATTTGTTGTGTCAAAGCTTAATATATTTAAAAAAGAAATAACTTTTTTTCAATACCTGTCATTCATTGCTATATATTAAAACGGAAACATTTTGGAGGGTATTTTGCCCTTTTAAAAAATAGCCCCTTATTATATTTTGTACTGCAAATTATTTACATTTTATAGAAGTTTACATTGAGAATTTGGCCAATTAGAATTGAGATCAGCCATTGCCCAAAACAATTTTTATTGTTATTTGTGATTCACAAAGCTTGAATGCATGCATATCATTGAAATAAAAGAAATCAGTGCAAATTGTTTTAGAAAATATAACTGCATTTATTTTATTGTTGAACAAACTTGGACAAGTAAAGTTAAATTGAAGGGTATCACCATGCATCTAACTGTTTTATATCCAGTTATTAAAGTCCTACTATATAGTTTATAATGATTGGTTTAACTTTTTGTTATTTTTACAGCAACCTCTATGGAACCATTTACTGACCTACTTTAAAGAGCAAAAATGTTTAGTAGAGGGACCATTAAACAACTTGAAGGAGAGCATGATACAGTTCAGCAAGCCAAGGAAATTGGTCAACACCTCAAACCCAGTTAGTAGCATAATGATATTGTTTAAATCACATTATTCATTCATTTTTTTTTTCTTCATTTGTGCAGCATTTCAAAAGAGATGAAAATTTAAAGAGTAATGAAAAACCGTACACAATAAAAAATTAAGAATAAAGCCAGTGGTCAATCAAAAATTAAGTCGAAGATTGGTGGCAGTTCCCATGGCCAGAAAAAAAGTGATGAAAAGTCAAACAATACTTCACAATTTCCAACTAGGAAAACTCAAGTTAACATGCATAAGAGAATGTCCTGTTTATGTAATTTGTTTTTTTTTTACAGGGAGGAAGATTTATGAGTAACATCATGTTTGATGCCAGAGAAGTCTTGATACCAGGAAGTGTGTATGATAGAAGTAAGTTGTGTTTAATAACAGCATGTAAGTCTTGTATCAGGAGAATAACTTTAGTAATTTGTGCTTGATATACTGCAACCCATAATCCAGGGCTCACCACACTAGGCAAAGTGAGTGTGATTCTAGCCCTTGCATTTTCAATTTGTTTTTTCAAAGTTTGTGTTGCCCATTATTTTCAGTAAAGTTATTGTAGATAATTATTGACAATGTCTCAAATACTATTTGTTTTGCACATGATTCCAATGTTTATAGAAATAAATATGTTACTTTATTAAACTGTTGATATTATGTCTCATTTTCTTTGTTAAGGGGAGGAATCACATTCTGGATGCATATTTTTTCTCTAAGGGAGCCATTGTTGTTTCTGGTAATTTCCTCCATTGACTTCAAAATGACTTAAAAGTATGACTTATAATTTAGCCTTGGTTAACCTGACATGCAATACTTATAACTTAGAGCATAAACCAGCAAACAAATATTATGTTTAAAGATTTCAGGCTTTTTTGTTTCTTCTGTATATGTAGACAGTAATAAAATGACTATTGTTACATTGATCTTTTAGGTCAAGCTTACAGGGAACCAGTTGTACGTACCCATGACCAGATGAGTTATATTGGACCAGAGAGAGCCTATGCTGGACCAGCAGTTAATCTGCCAGTACCAGTTAACATGTTTATACCACCAGCCATGCCACAGAACTTCAATGGACAACCACCAATGCATATGGGTCAGTCCTTGATTCTTTTACAGTATCACACATTGTTTTATTTACTACCACTTGGATTGTACCCCATTTGGTGGACTCTCGATCCCTAGGGGTACCATCTGCCCAGTAACCAGTACTTAAGTGCATTGGCATGATTTAAATGATACATTTTGTGTGTAAATTTCTTGTTACATAAATTACATAATTGTACAAATACTAAAGTTTTAACTCCCTCAAGCAAAGATGACCTTGGATTGCTTTTGGTGTTCTTTTTAGGCCCTCTTTCTAACTTAGATGTTTTATATATTTGGATTTCCCAATAGTTTGTCTTGAGGTTGCCTAGTGATGGTTATTCCAAAATCATGTGTGATGCACACTGAAATCACTATAACATTTATCTTCATTTTATGCAAAATTCAGCAAATAAAATTTCATGGAAAAATACAATATTTTTCAATGATTTAATTTTAAGTTGACCTTTTTGATCTTTGTATGTGATAAAAAAGTTATGTATACTTGTGTATTTAACTTCTATTATTGTAATTATAGGTAACAAGGTGATGCCAGGTCGTTTCAACAACAAAGGTAGAGGTGGTCGACAGAAACCTCCTCGTTACAGTAACACACAAGTACAACAGCCCCTGAGTCAGAATATGAGTCAGAGTCAAGCTAGTCAGGTATGTACACCTTAAATGGAGAGTGATAGCTGGATTTAGCTGTAAGGTATGAACACTGCATTTCATAGGTAAAGGCTTCCAGCCACAGTCCAGATCAAGAACAACAGAATTGTGATATTCCTTGGGTATAGGGCTTCTTACCAGTATTTTATGAGATTGTCCTGTGTTCTTTCTTTTACAAGATAGAGGGGGAAAACGTTTAGCAAAGCATTTGATTTAGAGTGTAAAGAAATTTCCAAAAAAATAGGATAAAACTTTAATATGTGTTGATGATTTAATTTTAATGGTTTTTCAATAATGTTGAAATAGACATGTGCCTTAATATTTCCAGTTTTGGTTAAATCATGTAGCATTTATTACTTTTTTTGTAACTGATTTATACAAGATCATGTTTGAATCCAGGTCATATGTTTGAATCTTAATATTTAATAGTATATAAGCAAGCCAAACATATGGACAGATATAGAAATAAGTCATAATTACTAAACATCCTATACTGTATGTGAAAATGAAAGTTATATGTTTTTTAATGATGAAATGTAACACAATCTAATATTTCAGGAGATGGGCCAGTCGTTCTCTCAGGGTCCTCTGACCCAAGGACAATTGTCGATGAGTCAGCCTTTCCAGATGAGTCAGCCTGGACTCTCAGGTCTCTCACAACCTGAACTGTCACAGGTATGTTTCCCAATATTTTACAAATATTTATTAGTTGAAAGTTTCCTGTTATTGTTAGCACTGTAATTGATTGTACATCTTTCAAGTATTTGACAAAGGCCAATAAAATAGAAAATTTAAGTAATTTTTAATCAGTGGAATAATTAACTTTTTTAACTCCAAAATTTGAATGGCTTTATATAAAAGTATTTTTGTAACAAAATAAGAAAGCAAATTATGACACTTGAGAAAATGGAAATCATAAAAGCAGAAAAGGCAGAGAAAAGCAAAAAAAAAAAAAAAAAAAGAAAGAATAGAAAAGAAATCTTAAAGAAAACTCTCAACATAGAATATTAAAAGATTAACATTTTCTTTTTGTCTTAACAGGATAGCTACTTAGCTGATGACTTCAAGTCTCAAGCAGATGGCATGCTTTCCCAGGATTCTACATACCAGGGAGATCGTATGTTCTATGCTTCTCAGCTATCCCAGGGTCCATTTAACTAGGTGAGAACTGCAGCACAGCAGTAACACTGGAGCAAAACAATGGACAAATAACATAAATAAATGATACGGTGTGGAGTAGTGTCTGTATGTATGGGGCCTACCTGAAACAAACCCAGCCGCCTTCACTGGCATAACAACAATGTGCTGAGAAACCTCCAAACACGAGGCACATAAGCTGCCAGCCATGTTTGTCAACAGGTGGTGCTCGAATCGACTCTGACGAAGACAACGGACACTGCAGAACAGTGAACTGTGGAAACCGATGATGATTACTTATTTTACGAATCATTTTGTTTACCATGATTTTTTTTTCTATCTGGAACATTTTTGCTACCAGATCCAATGTTTGAAATAATCTATAGTTAGTACTAGTATGTATATTTTTTTTCCGTATCCCCCTTGTATCATTATATGGTTACATATTTGTTTGCTTGGTTTCAATTATTTTAATGTGCATGTAATTGTAATTGGTTTTATTTTTTTTGTGTAAATCAGTTTTTTTCATCCTATGGTGTAAAAAAAAGATAAAAGATTTGGAATAGAAAAAGATTCTAACGTATATATTTGCTTATTTTTCTTTTATGGTGATAAAATTCAAAAGGAAAATAGAAAGACAGGAGATTAACTGAAGATTCAGCTCATCTGAGCTAGAGTATTAAGAAGAAAATTCAGCCTATTCAAAATATATTTCACAAGGACAGACATTTATAAGGAACTGAAAACTAGATATGAAATTATAAATTTATATAATAAATTCATTTGATATCAGATCAGAAAGTTATAAGAGAAACAGAAACTGGCTTATTTTGAAATTGAAGAGGACTTGCCCATAATTCAAACAACTGATTCCAATAACTATGATAGGTGTTTTTGAAAGCGAAATGTGATAATGATTGACATGTTGTATAAGGACAGTTGTTATTGTAAAGTTTGTTACGATTTGTGAAGTGGGTTATAAACAAATATAAAAAAAAGAAAAATATTTGTATTTATCTATTGTGTGTTTCACCAATTTGAAGATCTTTCGCACTTAAGTTGATGCACAGTGTTTAAACTTGTTGAGTAATGATGTTATATATAGTGTCATATACAATCTTGACCTTAAAGTTATTTATGTAAAGTAGAAATGATGAATTGTATGTCTTGCACCTTATCACTATTAAAACATGTTTTAACTTGTCATATAAACTGTTTGACGAAATTTTCATATGAATTGAAATTCTTATTTTATTTCTTTATTATCCATTCAAAATTCCCAATTAAATTTCTACACAGTAGTAATACATTGCAATAATTTTTCTGGAAAGTTGTAGTTGGTTGATCTAAGGGAAATAACTCTGTTAATATAGATGTGTTTAGGCTTGTACACAAAACTCCTGTAAAATAGGCTGTTTCACTTTCTCATAAAGGTTACTTATATGTATATTATTTGATCAAGATAGTTGACACTTGTTTGAAAACATTCTTGAAAATAAAGACAAACTCTGTGGTTTTTAATGGTATTAATTCCTTTATTAAATGTGTAACTTTAGTTTAAAAATGTTATTGTAATTTGAGGAAATTATTATGGAACACTGAATGAGCTTGCTTAATAAAAATTAACGGAAAAATTTATTGTGTAATTTCTTTTTGTAGAAAACTGCCACTGTATTCTCATGGTAATATGCTCACCTTGAGATGGGTAGATCTTGGGTTTAAGTCCTAGTCAATTGAAACCAAATACAGCATGAGCAATGACTTGTTCAGATATTTTACATTAAAGAAAGTAATCACAATTTTATATCCTGTAAATTTTCACTTATTTTGTACTGCATAGGAACCATGGTAATTAGACAGAAGGAATTAATTTTGAAGTAAGCAGCATTGTCTTGGAAACATACTTTTATCATCAAAATTGAAAATAAGAACCAATTGAATTTAACAGGTCAAAAAATTACACAATGCTGGTTTTAGGTCTTAGCAATGTTCAAAGAAGACATTGGGAAATTAACATAAATATTGAAAAGTGTTGGATTGCCTGCAGTATAGTACAGTTTAAGGAGGTGGATCTAGGTTAAAGGATATAAAGTCTTTAAAATCACTGGAACATCTGTTTCAAAAATATATTCTAAGCCTCTAACACAGGGCCTTGGTGGTGGAGTGTCTAAGTAGTTGATCTACTGTATCATTAGCCTGTCTATGCTGAGGTGAGTTTGAACCTAGCATGTAGTAGGTGCATTCGACTTCAATATTATTTGACTAGGATAGTCATTCAACTCCAATCTTATTTGACTAGGAAAGTCATTCGACTCTAATCTTATTTGACTAGGAGAGTCATTCGACTCTAATCTTATTTGACTAGGAAAGTCATTCGACTCCAATCTCATTTGACTAGGATAGTCATTCGACTCCAATCTTATTTGACTAGGATAGTCACTTTACCTGCTGAAGTCCATAGATCTCTCCAGCTTTCCTCCACCAATAAAAACACTATGTGGCCTATAGTGCTGACAGTGACATTAAACAACAATCAGTCATCTATTTAGCACAGATTATTTAACCAGGAATATAGTTATTCATATTTCACTAGTCAATCAATCACAAGTTTGGTTTCAGGATGATACTTAAAGTACCACTTGACCAAATCTTTTGACATATTAACACAATATTGTGGACCATACATTACATGTCTAGTATGATTATGGTAATTTTGATATTTTCTGTTAGAGTAATGTCCTTTAGTTGCCTTTAACAAATTTTGTTGTTGTTTATTAATGAAAATTAAAGCAGGGACTTTCTATACTTAGTATAGACTGTCCCTTATTAAAGTAATACTTGACTGAAATTTATACACAACGTAATGGATTATACACTGCAGATCAAGTTCAACTTTGAAGGTTCTTACATTTACCGTTCAAGAATTATTCTCTTGGTTACCTTCAAAATTGGTATTTTGGTGTCTGGATGGTAATAAAAGTCCCACATGACAAAATCAATTGAAATTGTAACACAATATCCTGGATCATAAATTATTATATGTCAAATATGATTATGATGGTTACATTTCTTAAAAATTCGATTTTTTATTCGGTATGATAAAGGATTGCTCAACCAAATCTTTAGAACTTTGAACATGATTTCCATGGATCATAAACTACATATTAAGTTTGATTTTGAAATTTATGTGAGTTATTCCCCTTAGTTACCTTAAAAAAATCATGGTTTCCATGCTATAATGAAAGTACTATTTAATGAAATCTTTTTAGAATTTAACATTGTTATGAAACATAATATGCAGGCCACATTCAATTTGAATTTCGGTTTTGGCATCAACCGTTTTAAAGAGTTTTCCTGCAAGGAAAGGGATTTCTGTGATCACCAGATCATCTAATTCTAGTTTTAATTCTGTATCACATGAATGATTAAAAATTGACGAAATTGATTTATTTTATTGAGTTATCTCCCTCAACTCAGTCCTCCCTCTTAGAGCAGGGTTGCATCATATAACATCAACATGGCTGCAGAAGTTGGACGACCTGGATGCTTCATACTTTTTTTACAGATGCCTTATATTACGAAGTTTCTGTCTGCCACATGTCCATTGTCCTTGACCTCATTGACATTGTTCAGGGACTGATAAAAAAACTATATTTCTTTGTCATATGTGTTTCTCAGTTATTATGAGTAATAGGATAACTATATATGGTATTTGGGATCCTTTGCAAGATCTATATGTCCCTCAGACCGGGTTCACTTGACCTTGACCTCATTTCATTGATCAGTGATCAAGGTTAAGTTTTCATAATTGTATTTTTTCTCAGATACTATAAGCAAAAGGTCATCTACATGTGGTGTAGGGAATGTTTGTAAGGTGTTCATGTCCATCTGGTCTGGTTTCAAACTACATTTACCTCATTTTCATGGTTCATCGGTCGGTTGTTAGTTAACCTGGTTCATTTTGTTCTTGAATACATTTTATGGATATGGTTTATAATGTGATCTTGTCAAACATTTTTGTCACCTGACCTTGAACTCATTAATGTTCGAGTGATTAATTCAAGTTTTCTGGATTGGTGTCTGTTCTTCCATAATTATACATTATGTCAGCAATATTTGGAGTGTGGATTGGTTAGATGTACATGAGCGGCCATAGGCGGATCCAGGGGGCCCCCCTTTTGTGGGAAAAATTTGGTTGATAATATAGGGGATCACTGAAGCATGACTGGAGCGGGCCCCCCTCCCCTTAGGTCAGTCAGTCCCCCCCCCCTTTATGAAAAGTTCTGGATCCGCCACTGGCGGCTGAAATTTGTCATACGAACTTGACCTAAATTTCATGATACAGTGTTAAGATGTTCTTCAGGACTATGTATGTTAAGGTTGTATGGGGTATACACAAAAGTGACAGAATTATTTTATACTTTGCCAGTAAGATGTTTTTAACATGTTATTTTTCAAAAATATAATAAAAATTATAGATCACCATGCTCGCTTTCAAGCTTCAGTTTGCAAACAAACATATTTAAACAACTCGGAAAGGTGAAAAGTAAAATTTGAATTATTTCCAAAAATGCTCTACAGCACCACAGAAACAATTTTAATGAAAAAAAACACTTGCCATGTCCTGATGTCTTCAGCATTCCTACTGAAATTTTTGGTGGCTCTCGGATGAATTTCTCTGTTTCAATAAAATTAAATCGCTCCGACCACAAACGGTCTGACACTTTAACAAAGGTTCCTAACATATTCCTTTCGAGGATATAACCTACCATTTCCATGAGCCAACATGGGAAGTCAAAATCCAAGCGCCTATGCCTAAATCTACAGCCTAACGCAATGAGGAATTTATTAAATTCCTGGCATCAATTTTTTATATAATTTTAATTGTGAATTATCACTTGGTAAATTACCTAGTACTCATTTGGCTGACTTGTTTACTAGGCTTTTTGCATAAAATGTCATGTTAGCTTTTGCTGGCACTTGACGTCCGGTGTCCGTTGTCCGTCGTGAATTTTTACACATATCTTTTTCGCTCAAACTAATGAATCAATTTTAACCAAACTTGGCCCGATGATCCTTAGGTTATTTAGTATAAAATGTGTTTTTTATTTCGGCCATTCAACAAACACGGTCATAGAACATAGGGTTAAATGCATCAATTATCTAATATCTTAAAAACCATTATAGATAGAGAAAATCTGACAGAACAAAAATTGTCTGAATGTCAAGATTTGCCTTCTTTCTATTTATGGAGTTATTGTCCTTAAATGACGATTTTAGACTGATCTTATTGATTTTGTCCATTATCTCGAAACCGATATGCAGAACAGCAAAAATGATCAGCAATACAATATCTACATTAATGCTAATACAACCGAAACAACTGGATGACTCCTTAGGGAGTTACTTTGCTTAGATGACAATTTTTGACTAACTTTGGAGTCCGTCCTATACCGTTTAAAAGATCTCCACTGAAACTAATGAATCAATTCCAACCAAACTGTGGGCGAATGATCCTTATGGTACCCTAGTATAAAGTTCATATTTTTAATAACTGTCAGCCAACCAACATATCCCCGTGGCCTAAATAAAAAAAAAAATTAAGGGTAAATGGATTAGTTGTCTTATATCTTTAAAAAATTTTTAAATCTGATAAGACAAAAATGATCAGTATTGCAAGATCTACCTAATTCCTATGTTTACCAAAATTATCAGATAACTTTTTACGAGTTATTGCCCTTAAATGACGATAAATGGGTAGAAACTGTTTATAGCAACAATAAAAATCAGCAATACAATATTAGATCTACAAAAATTTCAATATGACCGAAACCATTGGATGATTCTTTAAGATTCAGTTTTCTGTGTGGTGTTTTGTAGACTATTTTGTCTTCGTCGTTTTTGGTCATGGCTTTTCTTCGTCGTTTTTGGTCATGGTTTTCTTCTACTTAGGGTTTTGATTACTCCTCTGGTATCTTCTACATATTTGGTCCATCTGGTACAAAAACCCATGGTAACACTATAATTAGATCTTTTAATATTGTTTTTATCGGTATGAATATCGATTTGTTATCAATAAATTCAACTAATTATTATCTCTTTACACATATTTACATTCACGGTTCTACATTATGTCGATACCTATATTTTAACATTCATTTTTGCATTATCATGTTTTTTTCGGACTGTTTTCAGATCTTTTCAGTACTCTCAGATCCTTACTTTGTGTCTTTTGTGTTTATGTTAGTTGTTTTTGTGCTTTGTATCGATCAGATAAGTTAAGCTCTTTTCAACCATTGTGTTATAGTTTGTTCTTATGTTGTTCTGTTACGCCACTATCTCAGGATAGGGGAGGGTTGGGCACTCGAAAACATGTTTAACTTCCTCACATTTTATTTGTGCCTGTCTCAAGGCAAGTTTATCATATATAAGGTATTTGTTTTTCGTTCATTGTTTTGTATAGTTGGTTCTTGACGTGTTGTTCTGTCCCGGGTTTAAGGGGATGGTAGGGTTCCCGCTAACATGTTTGACCCCGCCACATTCTATGCCTGTCAAAAGTCAGGAACCTGTCATTGAGTGATTATCGCTTGTTGCTGTTCATCATATTTGTTTTTCTTTTATTGTTTTGTACAGT